TTAATTGTAAAATGATTGATTCCATGGTCAGTAATGATTTTTAATCAGTAGCATGTCACACTTAGGAAATATACACATGTAAGACAGAGCAAGAGTCAGGGGAGAAGATAGTAAAATGAAAATAATAAAACTCTCATTGAACGCAGAAGGACTGTAGAACACAATGCTTAAGAGCTGCTGCTTCGAAGCAGACTCCCTGCATTCTACTCCACCCTCCACCACTGATTGGCTGGCTGGCCTTGGGCACCGTTTTATTGTATAAGTCGCTGGCTAATGATAGAGCTCACATATCAAGTTATTATGAACATTAAATTGGTTGATATATAAAATTGCTTAGCTAAATACTTAGCATATAGAAAACCTTTGATAAACGTTAGCTATAGTTATGGTTATTGAATCAAGTATGTACAACATCCACACATATACATATATGTATTGCTGGCTAGCAGTCCTAGGTTAGAAGGCCAATTAAGCAAATGAGTTATCCTTATATAAATTTATATTTCTACAAACAGCCATTTCAGTGGTAACCCTAACAGCAATATAAAATGCAGTATGCTTTCCAGGGTCAACTGGTATTATACCTCAGCAATAGTAAATGTAGAGAATGTAAAGACCTTTCCATCTGTTTTAAAGTCAGCCTCAATTTTAGCATCTGTGAAAAAGAACAAATAGTATTTATGGCTCAGTTTTTATGAACATGAAATGTGTTCATATATGCAAAGTGTGTTGAAAAGTACTTGGTTTCTGTTAATATGATTAGCTTATGTTAATATGATTAGCTTATGTTAATATGATTATTTCTTTGAGTATTATTTTATTAGTTATTCTTTTCTTAATATAAGTTTTTTCTGCCAGATTGTAATGAGCTGAAATATAATCACTTAGAGATTCTGCTCTAGGATGAGAAAATTCCAGGGTTACGGATTTAGGAGGATTTGTTTTTCTATGTGGATTAGAGGTAAGATTGATCTGTTAAGAAAGCAATAAAACCAACCAATTGCTTATCAACAGTGAAGGCCACATTTGGATAGCACTGTGGGTGTATATATATATATATATATATATATATATATATATGTGTGTGTGTGTGTGTAATTATGCATATATATATGCATAGTAATTACATTTCAGTCATATTTACATTAAGCTATGTATATTAAAATATATATGTATTAATATACTATTTTATTCCCCCAAACACAGAAAATTAAAACATTTTTCTTCTATAAATGCTATCCTATATTATAAAAGGCTAATATGCAAATCAACTGAACTAAAGAATGACTGGTGCTATGATGTGCACTAACCATCAGGGGGCAGATGCCCAATGCAGTGAACTGCCCCCTGGTGGTCAGTGCCACTCAGCCCAGAAGTCAGGCTCATGCTGGCAAGCACAGTGGCAGTGGCAGGACCCTCTCCACTTCTGTGACTGTGCTAAGGATGTCAGACATCTCCTAAGGCCTCCCAGACTGCAAGAGGGTGCAGGCCCAGCTGAGTGATCCCCTCCTCCAACCTTGAGTGCACGAACCTCGAGCACTGGGCCTCTAGTTTTAAAATAAAATAAAAAATTATCTGAGAAAAGAACAAACAGGCTTTTAATTCATTCAATAGCACTTAAGTTCCACTATAGAATTTCTTCAGATCTACAGTATATGATGTGTTCTCTCTTAGTTTGTTTTTAATAGGGATTATTTTTGTTGTCATATATATGTGATTTTCTTAAGGAAACCTTCTCATTTGTCTAAAATGAAAGAAAACCCCCTTTTCCCCCTCTGAAATAGCAAGAATATTTTTGAGGAATTGTTTTAACTCTGAAAAAAATTACAGTTACATATTAGGGTTGTTTGTATTTTTCTCTAATTAAGAATACTAAACTAGAATTTCTGGCTGAAATATGACATTGGACTAACAGTATCTATACTGCTAATTTCTAATTTTCCCTTAAAGATGTGCCAAAAGAAGACACACACACACACACACACACACACACACACACACACACACCACCAGTGGAAACAAATAAAAGAGGTTTTCCTTATTTGAAGATTGGGTAGGATAAGATTAATAAACACAATCTTAGAACACAGATACTTGGCCTTATTAATTGAAATCAGTGTGTGATTTCAAAGGAGAGGTGTAGACTGGCCCATAATTTGTCCTCATCATTGGGCAGCAGAGCCTCAAGGTCAGGGAAACTAAGCTGCAGTGCCATTCTCAGAAAGAGCAGTCTTCTGAGCAAGCAGGAGTCATGCCCCATCCTTCTGCTCAGCCTCACTGTGCCTCTCTCTCAGAAAAAGGCTCAGTAACTTGGCATGGCAATAATCAGTTTCATTCTGAATACCAAATTTGGATACAATAAGTATTATATGTGCAAGCAGATATTGGCAGCATCTGAGACCTTTGTGTATGAGAAAAAGTATAAGCTTTCATGCAATATACTATGGTAAAATGTCATTTTTTAAATAATAGACCAAGGATCAGTAATCTAGATATTTCCATCCATCTAAAGCCATGATCCATGAAATTTTATAAGTCACCAGAAAATGGATCAGGGACTATCACAGCAAGCTGTATTCCAAGTGAAGATCAACATACTACTAAAGTTGAAAATAAGCATTTTCTGTGAATCAGCAATTTTTTCTCCTTAAGTACATAACTGACAGAAATGTATATACATGTGTACTGCAAAATATACAGGTTAATGTTTATTAGTGTTTAATTTGTAATAGCCAATAGAATCTCAACAATCCAAGAGTCAGTGAATGAACTATACATATACAAATACATTTTTATGGGAAATATTTTTGTAATATTCAATATTTTCATATATAGAAGTTAGATTTTGGACAAAGGAAGATTGCAGCAATGAGGAGAAAATATTTTGGTATAGGTGCTGGAACAATTGGATAAGTACATAGAAATAATAAATAAGATGTGACCTCTGCCACATGCCTTATGCAACAAAATAAATTCCAGTAGTCTTTAAATCTAAATGCCAAAATACAAATGATAAATCTTTTGGAAGATAATGGAGGAGAAATTTTTCATGATGTAGGAATAGGGAAAAATTTTTTTGAAAATGACAAAAACATAAACTATGGAAAAACACTAACAATCTGACTGCATTAAAATTAAGAGTTTCTGAATAATTCAAAACATCATCTAATTGAGTCAAGTTCAGCCACAAACATTTGAAATGTGAATACATATTAATGTCAAAGGGCTCGTTTAGAATAGATAAACAAATCATTAGAAATGGCATTAGTAATTATGGGGGCATAAATTAAATTCCAGCAAATTATGACTAAGCACCACACCACAAAATGACTAAACATAATTTATATATATATTTTAAAGACTAAATAAGTTATGAATCAGGGGAAACTTCAGTGCTACTGGTAGATATTTAAGTTGATTTAGAGTATTTGGCATTATCTAACAAAGTGGAAAGCAAGCATTTCCTGTGAATTAGCAATTTTGCTCCTAGGTTATAGACTTGGTAGAAATAGATGCACATGTGTATTGCGAGATACATTTATAAATGTTTATTTTGGCTTTATTTGTAATAGCCAAGACTGTAAACAGCCCAAATATCCACAATTAGTAGAAAATATAAATAAGTTTTGTTGTGCTCATATGATCTTATAACAGTGAAAATGTGAACTATAAATATATGAAAATTAGGAATGGATTTTATGCTCATAATATTGAGCATCCCAGACACAAAATATTCATTGTATAATTTGGATTTACATAAAGTTTTATAGCAGACAGAACTAAATAAAGTGTTTAATATTTTTTGGTGATAAAATAAAAAAATAATAAAGTAATGCCATAAATTATAGGATTACAGTAAATAAGGATACTACCTGGATAGTCTTGGTAGTGTTTTAAAAGGTGAAGTCAGAGAGTTTTCAAACAGTTCTAGGACCTTAATGTAAGTCTCACAAGACAGAAATTGGGTAGAAAATTGGGCAAAATCTGTGAAAAATCACTGAAATGGATGGGCAAAGCAAGGTGCAGGCCTTAAAGTGTTGTTGATAAGTCAGCTATTTTAGTTGGATCACAACCTTATGTTCTGGGAGGAAATATTTCTTGGTGCTGGCAGCTCAGAAACTATTGTTTGGTTTAGTGTTGTTGAACAGAGGTTTAGGAAAATAATGTCTGGTCTACATATCATCTAATAAAGGAAATAATGTTGGTTTCAGTTCTCAGTACTTATGCTTTTTAAGCCATAGTACCTTTATCTTTGAAATGCAAGTTGTTAATGTTAAATAAGATAATACAAAGTATATTGAATAAAATGTGTGTATTCTGATGCCAGCATCATAGAACCCATGTTCTGGTATTGGACTGCTCAATTTGAAATCCTGTTTCATCACTTTCTAGCTTGTCTCCTTCAGTAGATTGCAAACATTTAAAATAATCTATACCTATCTTATAATTTGAATGTAAAAACACATTTTTTTTTAACATATTGGACTGGAGACCCGGTGCATGAAATTCATGTACGGGGGGAGGCGGGTGTTCCTCAGCCTTACCTGCATCATCTCCAATCCAGGAGCCCTCAGGGGATGCCCTACTGACACTTAAGCCTGCTTCCCATGGTTCTCTGCCCTCTGTGGGGCCAACCTGCTCCATACCACAGGGACTGCCAAGCAGGCCATGCTGGCTGCTGCATGCAGGTTGCACTTCACTGCTCCTGGGTTGCTGAAGCTGTGCTGGGTGCTGCCTGTGGGCTGCACTCTCTGGCTCCCAGGTCACTGTGGCAACAGCCAAGCAGGCCATGCTGGGAGCTCTTCTCCCTGCTGACAGAGATGATTAGGTTACTTTGCATACTCACTCCTGATTGGCTGGTGGGTATTGTGAAGGTACCGTCAATTTCTATGTTTCTCTTTTATTAGTGTAGATTGCTAGTATATTATCAGAAGTGACTGAAATCAAAATGTGGGTGCTTGTCTAACCCACGCTATTCACAACCATTGTTTTATTTGCAGAATGACATGAATTACATAGCATCCAGTGGACTTCTATTCAAAGATGGCAAAAAGCGGATTGATTACATTCTGGTTTATAGAAAGTCAAACATACAGTTTGACAAAAGGAATACATTTGAAAAGAACCTCAGGGCAGAAGGCTTGATGTTGGAAAAGGAGGTAAGTGTTTTAATAGTCTTAATTATGTGATATAATATGCTGAAAGAAAGATGTTCTTTTAGGTTTTAGTATGGAAAGTGTGTAGCACATGGCTTTATAAAATATATGGTTATTTTCTCCCAAATGAAAGAGAAATGCATACTATATATGGTCCAGTCAAATTTGTATTCCTTTTTTATTCTGTGCCTTTTTGTAAATTTATTTTTTTCAAAGTGCATAACAGTTATTACATTTTTTTAATTGGAAGAGAAATAATTATACCTATACAAAGTACAAACCACTATGAAAGGAAAAATGAAATGTTGAAAGAAGAGAGATTGCTAATTTATTAGTGTCTGGGTTTTAATATTGAAACTATGGTGATTTTCTTCCCAATCCATTTTTTAATGCTATTGTTAAAGCCTAGAGTAATTTTAGGATCACAGCACAATTGAGATGCAGGTACAGATATTACCTATAAACCCCCTACCCCTACACGTGTAGCTTCCCCCATTATTAATATATTCTACTAAAGCAGTACATCTGTTGCCATTGATAAATCTACATTGACACAGCATTATCACTCAGAGTCCATAGTTTGCACTAATGTTCCCCTTTAATGTTGCACATTCTATGGGTTTGGGCAAATGTGAAAAATGCATCCACATTATAGCATCCTACAGAGTATTTTACCTGCTCTAAAACCTCTCTGTGCTCTATTCATCTCTTCTACATTCAAGACCTTTGATCTTTTTACTTTGCAAAGTTTTGCCTTCTCCAGAATATCATATAGTGAAATCACAGTGCATAGCCTTTTCAGGTAGCATTTTTTACAGAGTTGTATACATTTATGTTTCCTTCATGTCCTTCATGTCTGCTCATAGCTTAATAGCTCCTTACTTTTTAGTGTGGAATACTATTCCATTGTCTGGGATGCAGGAAGAAATGGAGAGGAGAAAAAAAATTAAAGAAATAGGAGAGAGATGAGATTAAAAAAAAGTAAAGGTCTTTGGGAAGATCTTAATAATGTTATAATATCAAGTATTAATACAATACCAGGGAAATCAAGATTTCTGAATTATCTTTTAAAGTCAATTTTCTACAACTATTTCTTGTCAAAGGTATTTTTGCAAAAGGTTTATTTTTACTTATGTTTCTAATTCTTAAAGTAATGACATTGATTTTTTTTAATGGTTGGGTTAAATACGGTAGGACTAGATGAATTATCCCAATGTTAGTGTGTAAAATCAGCCTGTTGTGACAAATGCACTTTGAGTGAACAAAAACATATTTCTATAAAAAGCATTTTAACATTATATCATACAAATGATTGCCTTAAGGTTTCTCTGTATTGACTTCCTATTGCTGTTTAACAAATTACTACCCATTTAGCAGCTTAAAACAGAAGCCATTTATTAACACACTAGAGGCCCAATGCATGAAAATTCATTCACTGGAGAGGGTCCCTCAGCCTGGCCTGTCCCCTCTCATAGTCTGGGAACCCTCAGGGAGGCAACCTGGCGATCAGAGGAAGGCTATGCACCCATTACACCTCTGCTGCTGCCACTGCTGGCAGCTCAAGCCTCAGCTGGCCCTGGTTACCTGAGTCTTTGGTGGCCCTTGGCAGTTGGGCAGCCATCATCTGAGGCTTACCTGTGCCTTGGGCTGGCCCTGGGTGACTTGAGGGCTGAGGAGTCTGGGGGACTCCAGAGGCAGGCATGCCTGCTGCCCTGGTAGGGCTGAGGGGACTGGGTGCTGCCATCTTTGAGAGTGTGACAGTCAATTAGCATATTCCCTCCTTATTGGTTATGGGCATTGCCATCTTTGAGGGTGGGGTAGTCAATTAGCATATTCCCTCCTTATTTGCTGTGGGTGCTGCCGTCTTTTCGATGGCATGAGGGTCAATTAACATAGTCCCTCTTTATTAGATGGGATAGTTTAGTTTCTCACAAGACTTAAATCAGTGTGTTAGCCTATATTCACACCTGGAGTTCCAAGCATTCTTAAGCTTATATAATTGTGGTAGGATCTGAATCCTAGTGGCTGTACAACTGAGGTTCCCATTTCCTTGCTGGCTGTCAGCCAGGGACTGTTCTCAGCTCCTAGAACCCATTCTCATTACTTTTCACATGGCTACCCACCTCCATTTTCAAAACCAATGATGGAGAATCTTCATTGTGTCCCTCTCCTATTTTGATTCTTTCTTTCCAGGAAGAATTCAGTTCTTTTTAGGAGTTCATCTGCCATGGAGGATACTCTATTTTTATTAACAGCAAATGTGACATATAACAAACTCAATTATGGGAGGGAATATTCCATCCTATTCACATGTCCCCAGGATTGTACAGGACAAGGACAGCCACAGAGGACAAGGATCTTGGAGAACATATTACAATTCTGCAGCCACACTATTAAAAAACAGCAGCAACATGAAGAAGTATACTGCCCTTCTAAACAAACAGACTTAGAAACTGCCTCTATGATGACAAGATAGAATCTAAGTACATTTTTAGTTTAAAGCTTATTATTTTCACTGATGACTCACTGTTTTGTAAATACAGCTATTTGAACTACCAAAATGAACATTTTGCACTATAATAAACATCTTTTTTTCTGTCAAAGTTTCAACTATTAAAAGCTATGGCCTTTGGTGGCAACTTAACTTTAATCGATTTCATTGAAAATATTTAGGGCTTGTGACAGGCAGAAAGGGGACACTGAAGTGGTGAAAATGTCAGCAAGATTGGGTTTTTAGCTAAAAAAAAAAAAGGGGGGAGTATTTTTTAGTGAACAGTCCTTATTTTTTAAATTTATATTTAATAAAGCTAAGTGTAGAGCCTGGCACTGAGTAGGTCACAAGACCTCATAAAATTGTATGTTGATGTGAATAGTCACATCATGAACAGATAACGATGCATATTTGAAGGCCATAAAAATAAATATGTACATGATCTGTACCTGTCAGGTTAGTGCTTTGTTATCCAAATACATTCCAAGAATATATCAGCAATTTGTCTTTATCTGACTTAATACCATGAGCAACCCCATTCTATTTTATTTTCGTTATCTGCCACCAACATGCTAAAGTGACTTTGTAATTTCCTCCTCTCTTAAGAGTGAATGCTCTACCTCCTGGAAATTTTGGGTGCAATAATTAAATAATAATGTGAAGTATGAAGGCAGTTGGTGTTTTTTCCTTCAGCAAAGCCTGTCTTCCCTAGAGCTACACAGAATAGTGGCGGATTGGGAGCTTTTGATTGCAAGAGAGAAAGCAATATTTTCCCATGTCGACCACTTCCCTTCACCAAACCAGGCTCAGTAGCTACTAGTACAAGAAAATGAAACACCTTTTTTTTTTTTTTTTAAATAAAGGTATAAAAAAGAGGAATTGTGTTGAGGTATGGTAATTATAAAAGAAATACAGTTCATGCTGCTTGAAAAGATCTACATTTAAAATTAAGACATACAAAATTAGAAATATTCTTGCTCTGTATGTAGTTAGCTTGACATTTTACTCATTGGTGATAGAGTTCATGTAGAAACATCCTCCTAAAACACCCCTTTAGGTGCATTAGATCATTTCACATTTAAAGGTTGACTGGAATAAATTAATAATCAGTGCTAAGCCATCTATTCATGATGCTAATTTGATTCCTACCTCTTCCAGAATCATTCTGGCTTAATTGCTTTCTTATCTCCACTCTCTCTTGCTTAGGTACAAGTTATAAGGAATGTACTCAAAATAAGTTACATCCATTTATTTATTAAACATTTATCAATTAGTATTTTTCTCATTCTGTACCTTTTATTTAAAATAAACATATTCCAAGTAGAGAAGGTCTTTGGAAATTGTACTCATGTGAAAGCTTTTAACGCTTTTCCCATGGTGCTTTGCAAAATACCTCAATAAGCTGTGAGAGAGAAAAAACAATCATGGTCCAAATTTTTGGATATTCAGATTACATTTTTCAACTTTTTATATATTTTTAGCAAGTAAATGCATATTAAATTGTCCCACAAGTTTTCTAGTGAGAAACCCAGAATGAACTTGACCATTGGATACATTTCCCAAACAAACAACTCTTTTTTCATAATACTGTACTCTTTGGAACAAACTTTTGCAAATGCTAGTTTGTGACAGTTCCTGCCTTATGTCATCAGTGGTGAGGCTGCCTTCTACATCATTGTTAATCCAATGAATGTCTCATTGCTTTTTAATAATCCTGCTTAAAAGTGTTGCTAATATAAATTGGAAATATTGTTCTGGCAAACTTGTGAAATTAGCCATCTCTAAAATAGACGGCTTTGTGGATAGTTGAATATAAAATTTTACAGTTTCATTTTAAGAGCTAGATGATTTTAAATTAAACCAATAAATCTCTTCCATACTTTAGAGTTTTTAAGACTGGTATATTTCTTGAGAAGGTCCATCTAGTTGAAATTCAAATGAACAATGCTTACCAACTAGAATCCTACTATGTCTAACCTGGCAGATGTATCTAAATGGGAACAGATAGCAGTTCTTCCTTTATCTATGTTCAGCTCCTCCAATCGCATGGAGAAGCCCTGGGGGAATCACTGTGCACATGGGCAAACTTCTTCTTAGCTCTGTGGTCCTCAGATACAGTAGGAGTTTCAGAAAATAACTGTCTAGATTTAATTTTCTAAAGCAGAATATGAAAGCAAATAATATATAGCCCCAAAGAAGTTGATTATTAATAGACTTATTTTAGACTATTGGACCACATCTAAGAATTTTGATGACTATTGGGCTCAAAGAGGTATCTGATTCTTTGTTAATGATATGAGCAAAGTATCCAGAACAATAGGATCCAATTTTGAGATTTCTGAAGATGTAGGCCAAGGTACACATTTTTCATTGAAAATTCTTTAGAGAAATCTGATGCACACCTGACTCTGCTTTAAAAACTCTTGTCTAGATCAAAGACACTCAACTTCTTGTGGCATCTTGATATGGGAAGAAATAGACTGAAAGGTTAGAGTAAGTCTGCAAATTTGATAACTTTGTAAGGTAGTGGCCTTATATGATTTATACTCATGCCCCGCCAGGATTTCTATAGTACTGAGCAAGTAATGGTTACTCAATAAAATAGGCACAAAGAATCAATGAATGAATTAATTAATGACTGGTGAGCAAGAAGAAGAGGACCTTGACAAAGTACCCAAAAAGAATAATTTACGATCCTAATTGGCTCCTAATTTTTCTCATTGGGGATCTTGGATCTTGGTAATGATTAACATGAGAAAATGCACTAACTCATATCATGATTATTCCTTGCATATGATTCATTATTAAATTTTTATTTAAGATTTTTATGCATTAAGAAGTTTTATTCATAAAAATTACTTTTAAATTAGTGAAAGTATATACATGTATAGATAAGAGGACAATGCTATTTTCTCTCCAATCAAATTGCCCCATAACATCACCCACTCTGATTCTCAATAATGGTGCCTGTCCTGCTGTCCTTTGCAGCCAGCCGTTGCGAATGCTGATATCATGTTTATTAAAATTCACATTCCATGGGACACGTTGTGCAAGTATGCAGAGAGGCTGAATATCAGGATGCCCTTCAGGTACTTTCTAATTTTATTTCATCTCTCTAAGTGTATATTAGGATTGGTCTAGACATTTTGCAAAACCTTAGGGCAATAAATGAAACCATTTCAACAAGGGAAATGCTTTTTCTTTCACAGGCTGGGTAATCTTGGACACTTTTTCTCTCTTCTGGTTTCTTTCTCTAATGTAGTAAACTTTCTGCTTCGTTAGATACTTTATATCATTGCTCGGTGGATTTGCCTAGAGGGAGAGAAACATAATCATTTTTAAATTTTAACTGATAACATAATTCCCAAGATCAATCTCACTTCTTATTTCATATGGGGAGATAGAACTCTTATTGTTTTTATGGAAGGAAGGCAATGTAAAATGCACCATCCTTATATATACAAATGCAGTGTTCTTCTCTGGATATTGGTTAGCAAGAATCCTCACTTAGGTGCAATTCAACCAGATGGTTTCTTAGCTCTGTCCTTAGTATCAATGGAAAATAGTAATGAGATGCCTGCTCATTTCAAAGATTTTTCAGTCCTTCCTATAGGTAAGCAAATATTGAACAGACATGTTTTCTGATATTGTGTATCTTGTATTATATGCAGAATGTTTCACCTTCCTTCATCATTTCTCAAAATAAAATTCAACAGGTTTCCTACTATGCACAAAGTGTTAACTCACATTGAATATATGAACATTTACATTTATTCGGAACTCAATGTGCTTTACCAGCTGCTAAGAATGTTTTAAAAGGTTCACAGTAACAAGGTATCAATAAAACAGGCATCTAGATAATGAAAATGAAAGAACAGTAAGAGTGCAAGTCATAAATATAGAGGTATTTCTCATACCCCAGAGCATGCAAAAGGCCAACTCTGTTAAGAGTTCTGGCATCCTTAAGTCTTAGGCTATTCACTTTTTTAAAAAATATATTTTATTGATTTTTTACAGAGAGGAAGGGAGAGAGACAGAGACCTAGAAAGGAAAATGAGAGAAACACCGACCAGCTGCCTCCTGCACACCCCCCACCGGGGATGTGCCCGCAATCAAGGCACATGCCCCTGACCGGAATCGAACCCGGGACCTTCCAGTCCGCAGACCAATGCTCTACCACTGAGCCAAACCGGTTTTGGCTATTCACTTTTTTAAAAAATGATATTATTGTTTTATTTCCTGGCAAGGGTGCATTTGAAATAAGAATTCTGATACATCAAAGAAAGAAGTATAAAAACTGTAAAACCTATGCAGTTTACCATCTCTTTTTCTTGATGTTGTGTCTGAATTTTTTTAAAATGTATTTTTAATGATTTCAAGGAAGAGGGGAGAGGGAGAAAGAGAACAAAACATCAATGCTGAGAGAGAATCATGAATTGGCTGCCTCCTGGATGCCCCCTACTGGAGCTCAAGCCCAATCTAGGCATGTGCCCCAACTGGGAATTGAACTATGACCTCCTGGTTCAAAGGTTAACTCTCATCCGCTGAGCAATGCTGGTCTGACTGAAATTTTCATCTTTTATAATGTTTTTCAGAATAATACTGTATTGTGAAACTTTTGGAAAGTTCCACTGAAATTCTCGTGATTTAATAATAATATATTAGAAAATATGCAACATTTTCCAAAGTGTATCAAAGTGTACCACATGCTCTTAAGTAGAAAAAATATTTGGTGACCAAATATGCTTCCAGTTTCTGAGCTATACAATGTTCCTTCACTGTAGGAATTTTTTAGAGAACCTGTTCTCATCCTTAGAGTTCCTCAAAGTCACCTGGGAAATTGTAAAGTTAAAGGTCCGTGGAACCGACACCAGAGTTCTGGTGTATTAAGTCTAGGATATGGTTGGGTATATACATTTGAAACAAACATCTCAAATGATTCTGATACAGGTGAGAAAGAAATGACTAAGAAATTTAATATATAACAGCTATATAGTTTTTATAAACTTCAAAAATTAGTTATATTTAGCAATAGTCCCCAAATTTCCATCTGATAATGAGTTTTTAATAATTTTAATATGATGGTGTGCTTAGGAAAATAGCTGGAGAAATGCTGGAACACAGCATTCTTTGGAAATATCATTCCAGATCAGTTTAAATAATAGATACAGTATTAACTAATTTTTTTAGTAACTAATCACTCATTTATTTTTGATACTCCTAATTTTGGGATAGTTCTCAGCGTCTAAAAAGAGAATGCTATTCAAGCATAAACATGACCAAGTGTTTTTATGATGGCCAATTAAGTTTCCAACTATCAAGTGTTTTCACATTTAAAAAAAAAATCCTTATATTTTTGTATTGATTTCTAAGAGAGAAAGGGAGAGGGAGAGAGAGATAGAAACATCAATGATGAGAGAATCATTGGCTGCCTCCTGCATGTCCCCTACTGGGGATCAAACACACAACCTGGGCATATGCCCTGAACAGGAATGGAACCATGACCTTTTGGTTGATAGGTCGATGCTCAACCACTGAACCACAATGGCTAGGCAAGTGTTCTCACATTTAAGAATATATATATATATATATGTACTGTCTTAAAATTAAAATATACAAGAATAATACAGAATGGGAATAGGAAAAATGCATATTTCTTTTTAAGGATTTATGAATAAAAATGTTACCCATCTTTGGCTAATCTATGTATTTATTCATTGTTGAAATATACATATTACATTCCACAAAGAAAAGCTGCAGATTTATTTAGAAAAATGATAATAGAATTATAAACCTGTCTGCAATTTTTTCAGTTAACTTATTGAATAAACATGAATTTTGAAAAATTTATCTACTTTTCAGCTTGAATGTATGTGCCGAATTGTATGTACTATATTTTCTAGCTAATTCTTTGCTTGATTATTTTTCCAAAGTAAATATGACCTACATATCAGATTTAATGTTTTACAATTAACCAAGAATATTTCAGAGAATTAAAATAGTCTACATTTTCCAATTTTATTCTATCAGGAAGGACTTAATCTGTCTCCTCTATAGTCTAGAAATATCAGTCCTGCTTTCATTATTTTTCTCTTGATTTGGAAATGTTTCCTATTCATTCTTAGCCTACTTTCACATTAAAAGTGTCAAACATATTTTAGGATGATTCAGTCATCCTATATCTTCTCAGGGAGAGTTCCCAGATGGGTGAACCTTCCATTTTTCCTCAAGCTTCTCCTCCCACAAATATTTTAAATATAGCAAATTTGGGGGAATACTTAAAAGTTATTAAGTACAATCTTCTCTTTCTACATAAAAGAACAATCTTCCTTTTTAATCATAATTAGGATTAAATTCAGATCACTTTTTGAATGCAAAAGATTCTTTACTCAAAAAATAAAATAACATAAAAACATATAGGAAGCCCAATATGTAAAATAGATCAAAGTCGAATCATTTGGCTTAATAGGAGAAGGGAATCCTGGGTTCCAGGCCTGTGACTGTCCTCCTCACTCAGCCCTACTGTCATCTCCACATGTGGCCACCTGCCTCTGTGAAACACTTATTGGAAACAGTATTGAGATAATTATTTATGGTTAATTTTGAGTGGTTGTTGTAATAGGTGGGTCAATAGGTAGATAAACACTGCCCTGATGCAAGGTGTAAATTAGCAGACTCTTTTCAAGGGAAAAATAAAGTTCTGTACCCATATAGTACAATCAATAATGATCCTCAACATGCAATTTATACTCCAGTGATTACCAACTTAGTTGCAGTTTCTGAATCTTAGCAACATTTGATCTTGCTCCCATAACCATTTCATATGCTGTCCAGAATGCCGTGCCCCAAGTACTCACTCAGAGGACTCTTCCCACTCATGCTTCAAGATTCCACACAGATAACCCATCCTCCGGGAAGGCTTCCCTGTCTCCTTTCTCCTCCACCTACAGAAACCAATTGGGATCTCTTCCTGGGTACTTCCACAGCTCTCTCTGTTACCCTGCCTGGTCACACTTCATTGTAACTTCCACTTGTCTCCTCAATGGTAAAGGAAGCTCTTTGGGGGAAAAGGCCCTCTTTATTTTCTAAATCTTTAAAGGTTATACTTTATTATTCCTTGCAAAATCAGAAATATTCATTACATATATGTTTGTATAGATGGATGGATGGATGACTTCATATAACAAATGTTCCAGTTAACATGTATTTTGTAGAAGTGAAACCTTTAAAAAATAGAATGAAAAAATCAGAATTCAAAAGTGATTTATCGATTTATAAAAGTGATTTTGCTTTTATAAATCGTAGTAACGTAGATTCTGAAATTAAAACAATGTAAATTCAGATTATTTCCACCTTTAAAATATTTTTATCTTTATTGTTGAAAGTTAATTACAGATGTTACCTTCCTCCCCGCCCTCCCCACCCCCACCCCCAGGTTCCCCCAATGACCTCTTCTAGTCTGTCCTCTGCCCCAGGCCTTCCACACACTGTTAACTGTGTCCATGGGTTTTGTATAATGCATATAAATTATTTGGTTACTCTTTCCCCACCCATCCACCCACCTCTGCCTTCTGAGATTCCAGTCTGTCCTACTATACAGGCTGAGTTTATGTCTTCCTTAAGCATTTGAAAGTTGAAATATTGAAATGCTCAATACGATTGAATGTTATCATCCACTGGTTCCACTATTTTCATTTGACTTTACCCAGCTGATGTTTATTATTTTTCAGGAAAAGATCCTATTACACTGACCCACGGAGCAAATCAACGGGCAGGTTGGTGGGTGATGCCTGATTTGTTTATGACTACTTTGTTACTGAGGGGGAGGATAGAAATATATTCAATTACCCTTACCAGCAGTTGTAAATTTTAGGGGAAACACACACACTTTATTGATTTAAGAGGTATCAAAAATGACTTGTGCCAAATTTAACAATGTTCAAAAACAGGTAAATGTGTTGTTGTTTTTAGAAATTTTAGAAATAGTTATAAAACCAGATTTATAGGTAAATGTTAACCCAGTAGAGTAATAGAACAGACCCAATAGAGATTTTCTGGGTCAGTTGTTCCAGATCTCTTATTTGACAGGTGGTAAAGGAAAGGTGATCATTTATAGGGATTAATCGCCATGCAGCACCTTTTGAATCAAAGACCTACTCTTATTCCACCACCTGAATCTCACTTTCTTATCCTAGCATTGAAAACAAACTTATTTTCAAGAGTGCTTCATCTCTTGCCTATTTGGGTAACAGTAGCTATGGCAAAGGAATTAATCACACCGTAAGCCTGAAACAGAAGAAATTATCTCACCTGAATGCCTGACCTTGTTTCACTAGAGGAAATGAGTTTGCCTTTGCTGATACTAAAACAAAAGGCTCCTTACACTGGGTGTTTTTTTGCTTGTTGCAAAAGAATCAATTAGCAAAAACAAAATGTGAATGTGGTAGAGTATGCTCGATTGAACAGTATTGCAGGATTACAAGTCAGAATGACAGAAACCAGAAGCATATAGTGCAAATATCAGTTGATTTTAGGAAAAGATTCAGTAAATCTAGTTCTTTTACCAAGAAAATAGCTGAATATAATTTAGAACTTTACAATAGAAAAAAAATTCAGTTTTAAAATCGGGGAATATTGCTGTCTTTTAGATGTGATCAGGATTGGTAACAAGATAAGTAAGTCATGGGGGCGGGGGTGAGAGACTTAATATTAAGTACTAAGGAATCAGTATGCAAATCACTCTTTTTAAAAACTATTGTTAATGATGCTCTTCAGCCAAGTCCAATTTTTGTTGTCCAGCTAGCATGCTTGGATTTAGAATGGGCTTTGATCTTTGCCCTTGTTCCTATTTGGTCCTCATCTATGTAGCAAATTTCCAAAGTTATTTTTGCATAACAAAGCCAAAGTCTTTGGAATATTGTGATTTATAAATTTACAACTGCAGGTTTTTCCTTTTATTTTTCTGCTCAGTGATGGACATGTTGCTAAATGTCTGGGTTCATTTTCATGTGCTCTATTGAATTAGTGAGATTTTGCTGCTGTGTAATTAGTGAGTTTTCTGATAAACAGGCATTTTTTTTTCAGAACTTGCAGAAGGGTAAAATGATGCATGTTAAAATAGCAACAAATGTCTATTTATGTGGTACTGTCATAATTTAGTTTTAGCATAAATGTGTTTAGAATGGCTAATAAATCTGTGTATATTAAATCCTAAAGAACCATTTTATCTTTTATAATATTTTATTGTTTTTGTTTGTTTGTTTGTTTTAGCGGGAGGAAGGGAGAGAAAGAGAGAGGGAGAGAAACATAGATGTGCAAGAGAAACATCTACTGGTTGCCTATTGCACACACCTAGACAGGATTGAACCCACAACCTTAGTATGTGCCCTGACCAGATCCAACCTCTTGGTGTACAGGACAAAGTTCTAACCAACCAAGTACACATTTTTAGGGCACAACATTTTTAGTGGTCAGAAAAAAAATGTTATTATTTTATATTTTTGGTCAAATTTAAAAGTAACCTAGAAAAATGAAAACTATACTGTGGGTCCTATGTTTTATTATCCTTTGTATTTTTTTTCTTTCATGAAATGAAAATTCAGTTATCAGTTATTTCAAATGATTATTAAATTCCTTTAAGCATTGCCCTAGTCAAACCTCTTTGGAAAAGAAAATTAAGATGTGTGTGTGTTTAGGTGGCTGGCGGTGATCATCATTGTTACAAAATTACAAAACCAATTTGTGGATACTTCGAAAGAGGGGGAAAATCAATCATGTACACTATGATTCAATTGTGCTTATTCTTTCTTGAAGTTGGAAAGGTGTTTTGTGTAATAAAGATATTTTAGCCAATAAATATGAGGGGATAATTAATGTACAGTCACTTATCTAGCTTTTGAAGTTCATTTCTCCAGACAGGCTGATAGCAATAGTTATAGTTTTATTATTTCTGCTATTTATCATCTGGCAATGCACTTTCACATTCAATTAATAAAACATCTTCACAATGACCCTTCAAGGCAGCAGAACACATTGTGGGTTTTCTGATAAACAGGCATCTGATAAACTCTGTCGTCACTGCTCCCCTCCATCCATGCCTCATCCCCCAACCTTCGCAGCTGATGTGGTACAGTTGGGGCTCTGACCAAGTTATTTTGATCTTTTAATTCAGATTCTTTCCTGCATGTGTGTGGTTGTATCAGTGTGTTTATGTCTTTTGGGAACTCATTTTTGGAATGGCAGTGGAAGGTAGGCATTACTCTAGAATGCAACCTAATCTAATTCTAAAATGTGGCTTTGTTCCAGTATGCACAATTATTTTAGAAGACTCAAAAAGTGGATGTCCCAAAACCCAATGGTTCTAGACAAGTCAGCCTTTCCAGACCTGGAGGAGTCAGACTGCTACACTGGCCCCTTCAGCCGTGCGCGGATTCACCAGTGAGTCCCCATCTGTTTTCTCCCATGACCCGCCTTGATATCTGTCATTATTTGGAAGTTGTTGATGAAATAAACATAGCTGGGACCAGTTCTATGTTTTCCAAAAAAGTCAGAGCATGTATCATTTTATTAAAATGCATACTTAGAATAAAACTCAGTGAACATGATTAATTAATTATCAACTCTGTTGTAGAGACATTCCAGTAATGAATGATTAATTGTAAACTCCTAGATTGAGCTAGCTCCCAATTCTCTCAAAATAATTATTATGGTAGTAAGTCACTCAGTTAAAGTAACAAAAATGATGATGATAATCATAGAATTGCTATTAAATAACATCCTTGAATAATGGATTTTTCTAATTAAATTATATTTGTAATTATACTTAATTGTGTATAATTAATTTAATCCATTGTATAATTTTATTAAAGTAAGGTGAATAAGAAATTTTTAGCAATTTTTACAAGCCTATCTATTTGTCTATCTACCAACATATCTCTACTCATTAATTTATTCAATTATTAACTTTCAACATGACACAGAATGAGGTTATGATACAGTCCCTGCTTTCACGGTTCTTCCAGGCTACTGGGTCAAACAAAAATCTTAAGTTAATAATTAAACACAATAGTATAAACATAAAGATGGAGAAATGCACAGAATGCAGTAGGTCAATAGCTGCAAGGTCAATTTGCTGTATGCAGTTTTGGACTGACATCTTCTGGGATGTAGGATATTGTGAGGGGCAGGATGAACCAGAATTTATGGCCACCAAACATGTAACAGAATCAGTAATCAATAGGAAATACTGCTTTCCAAATATGTATGTTATTATTTCCTCCAGAGGCAGATTTAGAAGCATTCTTTTTAATTCCAGCTAAGAGGTGGAGGAAGCAGTGTAAATTCAAATGAATTCCAAATTTAGAAAGACATTGTACTTTTAGCTTTTTGCCTTGTTTTTTCATGTTCTGCGATACAAAAATCAAAACAACAACAAAAAGTCTGCTATTTCTCTTTCTACTTGAGAAACTAAGGTGATCTTTGAAAAATCTCAATCAGATCATGAAACTTGGGGGTGCTTAATACCACCCCCAATGGCCTCCCATTTACACTTATCATAAAATGCAAATTCTTACCATGTGATCATGTAAGCTGTGATCTCTGTCCAATACTATCACCTCATCTTCTATAATTTCCACACCATTTCCTGACTTTAGGGCTACCCATCAGAAGCTCCACCTAAATTCTATCTGAGAGTCTTTGTTCTTGCTGTTCTCCTTGCTAAGATGCTCTTCTCTCTGATCTTCACATGGACTATCCCTTCTTACCATTCAGCTGTCACTCAAAAGTCATCAGCTCAGAGAGACCTTCTCTGAAAATCGTATCTATAGTCCCTTTGCCCCAGTCATTCTCTATGCCATTAGGCAGTTTTATTTTTCTTCGTAGCAACTTCTGAAGTTATGTAACTGATTTATTTACTGATATATGTTTCCTTTCTTTGTAATGTAACTTCATAGAGAAGGAATTTATCTGCTAAAGAAATATTTGTTCAGGGAATTCTGAATCAAATCTGATGGTAAAATATTTGGTGGATATTCTTTTTGATTCTTGTCATGAACAGGTCACAGAACTGTTAACTCGGTGCATCTAAGTACAAAAATAAAAAGCACAGTATCAGAATATTGGAGGGACTAGAGCAGATTAAAAGTAATGCATTAGGAAAGACAAGTGAAATGCACATTTTTGTAAGAGAGGGAGAAGCTACATCCAGAGGAGATGACCCAGGAAACTTTTATGAAATGTTAGTTCTTTTCAAGCCATTAAAAATGTGGAGGGAGGTGGTGAGAGGTAGGGGAACATATATGAGAATCAGAGCAAAATCTCAAGGTAAAAAAGGATGGGAATCCGAGGTGATAAGTTCTACACTTTGACAGACTAACAGATATAAGAAGCCAGACCTATAAGAAGTAAGACCAATGGGTGGTTGAAATGCAAGAATAGAGAGCCTCCTAGGAAAATAGTGTTGGAGAGCTGCTGACAGGTTATAGTAGGAGCCTTCTGGGGGTCAGAGCTATGCATTAAAAATCTCAGGAGAGAAATTGCACGGCTGATCAGGGGTAAAGAGGGCATTCTTTTCATAACCTAGCAAAGAGGCTATGAGACCCAGAGCAAGATGTGTATGGAAACCAGGAGAGACTCAGTTTAGTTATAAAATTTACTTTGTTTGGCAACTGTTTGAATATAAATGAAAAGAAATCAAGATCATAAAAAACCCAATACTGTAGACCTAAGAGTCTGAGAAAATGGTGGTTTATCGTTCACAAAAAAAAGCACCTGAAACAAAAATTGTCAGCAGTTGAGTGAGGACTGGGACACTTCCATTTTTTTGAGGCTCCCAGGATATCATAAAGTAAATGCTAAAACAGACCCTTCCCTTCTTTTCCTCTTGGAATCGCCCTTTTGCTCTTTTCATCACTTACTCTTAAGTCATTTCTGCTGGCAACTCTCCCTTTGTAGGGACAGAATAAGGCATGAAGGGAAGGAAGGGCTATTGCTTGCCACTAATGTTTTATAAACAAAAAAGCTAGCTTGGAAAGTGTGGCATGGGGAGTTACATGAATTTTTAATGTGTTCTGTTTGGAATTACATTGCATAATTAAAGTAGATGGGGGCCCATGGAAACTGTTCTCTCCTCGTTCAATGCCAAACAACTAATATGAGGACATCCAGGCTTTCTTATAAACCAAATGATGTTAAAATGTATATTTGATAATGCTCTGTATGATTTATGTTTATTTTCTCTGCTGATTGATTTTTTTAAGAAGGTGGTTTCTCTTCTGATTTACTCTACTTCACATGCATTAGTTTAAAGGAGAAAGCATATGGATGACTTCCCAGGAAGTTGTTGCATTTGTTGGATTTTATGCTCTGCCCTGAATACTAAAACGGATCCCCTTATCTTAACAGCTTCATAATAAACAATAAGGACACTTTCTTCAGCAATGCTACTCGAAGCAGGATAGTCTATCACATGCTTCAGCACACCAAATATGAAAATGGAATATCAAAAGTGGGTAAGAACACGAATGAAAAAATGTAGAGAAAGTTGAATTTGCTGTCACTGATAGTACCCAGAAATATTTGACTGAAGTTTTGCCTTCGTGCATTAAATATGGATATAGAACACATTGAGCACAAACTAAACATTCTGTTTTTTAGCCTTTCAATAAAACAAACTCTTTGAAGAACATTTGGCCATATGTATCAAAATGCCAACTGTGCAAACACTTTAGAACAGTAATTGTATTCTTGAAATGTATTTCAAGGAAACAATCAGACTTTTAATAACAATATACAAAGACCTTTGTTCATTGTGGTTTTGTAATAGAATAAAAAATATATACATTAACTGTCCATTATTAGAAATTGACAAATAAATTAGGCTACATCCACATAATACATCTATTAAAATGAATAATTCAAAGATTTTGCAACACTAATAAGTATTATTTTGAGATATTTTAAGAGGTAGGAACTTCCTCCAATTTTCTTAATAATTTTTTTTTTAGTAAAAAGAAAAGTTGCTCTAGGCTCATGTGATCCCATGTGAGTCGATATTAATACCCTCCCCCCCAATTTCATGATGCAACAAAGTGAAAATATTAGGTTGTCACCCTACAAATTTCCATATATTAATATTGTAAGGACAGAATTTGACTCTTAGCATTAGTCTCTTTCATAGCCTCACAGTCCTTATAGGTGATGTTGTTATGGAAAGCATTTGGGTTATTTTCAGCTTTCAATTAACTTAATGTTCAAAGTATATGTATGTTGCTGCAGAAGGAAATCTTCATTTAAACAAACTCAAGAACTGTTGATTTCTTCTTTTTTCAGGTATCTGTAAACTGATAAACAATGGCTCATATATCGCAGCTTTTCCCCCACATGAGGTAATTTTAAAATATAATTTCCATTTAAAAATGTTTTCATGCTCAATCCATTTATTTTATTTTATTTAAATCTGGCTTCCCCCTCCCAGGACGATTCATTCAGAGACTGGCTCTGGTCTTTTCTGAAACCCCCATTCTATTTTGTCTCTACACTGGCTCCCCTGCCCAGAACCATCAGGAATCCCAGCCTTGGAGGCAACTCATGGACTTTGCTTGGCCGCTCTGGCTGCTACTGTCTACTCCAACACAGAGATCATTTGGGAACCACACCACTCCCAAACAGGGCAGATCCCTGATTTGTGCAAACTGCTTTGGGAGACCTGAAAATCAAACACAAGCCCACAAAAAACCCTACAGCCATTATATACTTTATTCTCTGTGTGATTATTACCTCTCTACCAGTTTTAAATAGGAGAGCCTGTTCAAACTACGGTGGGCTTAGCCTGCTGAGTCATGAATTAAATTTGAATTAGTTTTAACCCTCTCCGCACACACCCATATATACACACTGTATTAATTTTAAGGCAATTTTGCACTTTAATATAAGAATGGGGTCATTAGAGGCTTCACTTCAGCTCTTTCAGAACTAGTCATTCTTCTAAGGACAAAGGATGCAGACTTACAACCTTTGCCTGAGGGATCCCTGTGCCTGAGGAATTCACAGTACGGTACAACTCATGACAGATAAAATGTGTTGAGTACTTAATACTTGGCACTGAGCTAAATGTCTTTTATGGGTCATCTCATTCAATCCTTGCAGAAAATCTTTGAGATAGACAATTATTTTAACTCCATTTTATAAATGTCATTGAAGCATAGAAATGTTAAATATCAAAGGTACAGTTTTGAGCCTGGGAAGCCAGACTCCATTTTCTTTCAATGTTACTGTGTTTATTAACAGACCTTAGATTCCAAACAGTAAAGTCTAGTATACTTTAAGTTAAAAGGAAACTCATTGGTTTAAAAAGGAATTTAAGCCCTCCTGGTATGGGTCAGTGGGTTGGGCATCATCTTGCACCAAGTGGATGCCAGGTTTTTTTTTTTATGGCTTTTTTTTCCTTTTTTTTTTTTAATTCTTGATTGTTGAAAGTATTATATATGACCCCTTTTCCCCCATTGTCCTTTCTACCAGTCTGCCCATGCCTCCCAGCTCTGGCCTTTACCACCCCCCATTGTCTGTGTCCATTGATTATGCTTATATACCGGTACATACAAGTTCTTTGGTTAATCGCTTACTCCTGCCTCCTCTGATTTCCCCCAACCACAGTCCATCCTCTCTCCTTCCCTCTGAGGTGTTATGTGGTCTGTTCAATGATTCTGTCTCGCAATCTATTTTTGTTCATCAGTTTATGTTGTTCATTATATTTCACAAATGAATGAGGTCATGTGATACTTATCCTTCTCTGACTGGCTTATTTTGCTTAGCATAATGCTCTCCAGGTCTATCCATGCTGTTGAAAATGGTAAGAGTTCTTTCTTTTTCACAGCAGCATGGTATTCTATTGTGTAGATCTACCACAGTTTTTTTTTTATCCACTAATTTGCTGATGGGCACTTAGCCTGTTTCCAAATCTAAACTATTGTAAATTGTGCTGCTTTGAACATAGGTGTATGTATGTTCTTTCTGATTGGTGTTTGACTTCTTGGGACATAGTCCTAGGAGTGGGATTACTAAGTCAAATGGGAGTTCCATTTTTAATTTTTTGAGGGAATTCCATACTATTTTCCACAAAGGCTGCACCAGTCTGCATTCCCACTAGCAGTGTACGAGAGTTGAGGATTCCCATTTCTCCACATCCTAGCAAGCACTTGTTTGTTAATTTGTTGATGATAGTCATTATGACAAGTGTGAGATGGTACCTCATGTCACTTTGATTTGCATTGCTTGGATGATTAGTGATTTTGAGCATTTTTTCACATGTCTCTTGGCTTTCTGTATATCTGCTTTCAAGAAGTATCCATTTAGGTCCTATGCCCATTTTTTATTGGATTATTTATCTTCCTTTTGTTAGGTTGTACAAGTTCCTTATAAATTTTAGAGATCAAACCCTTATTGGAAATAATATTGGTAAATATATTCTTCCATCCAGTGGGCTTTCTTGTTGTTTTTTAATAGTTTCTTTTGCTGTGCAGAAACTTTTTATTTTTATGTAGTCCCATTTATTTTTCTCTTTAGTTTCCATTTTCCTAGGAGATTTGTCAGTAAACAAATTGCTTTGACATCTGTCTGATATTTTACTGCCTGTGGATTCCTACTAAGATTTTTATGGTTTCCTGTCTTACATTTAAGTCTTTTGATTCCTGGTCAGGGCACATGCCTAAGTTGTGGCCTCATTCCTGGGTTGGGGATGTGTAGGAGGCAGCCAATTGATGTAATGTTCTCCTATCAATGTTTCCTTTTTCCTCCCTTCCTCTCTCTCTAAAAATCAATAAACTATTCTTTTTTAAGAAAAAGAATTTAACAAAGGATTTTTAAGGAGCTATCAGAATATTTTTAATGAGGGAGAGATATGTAAAGCCATCATCATTCCAGAGATGAGCCAAATACACAATTTCTTAAGCTTTCAATAAATTATTAAATAATTCTGTATTGGAAAAAAGGAAAAAAAAAAAACAATTACTGTGTAGTTCAAACTCCAGTAAGAGAATGGGTATGGATTTATCTTATTTCATCTGTTTCAGGGAGCTTACAAGAGTAGCCAGCCCATCAAAACCCATGGACCTCAGAATAACAGACATCTATTATATGAGCGCTGGGCACGCTGGGGAATGTGGTACAAGCACCAGCCCCTGGATTTAATCAGGTACTGGGGATGGATCAATATGGAAGATATATGTTGTTTTATTGTCATTTTCTCATATTGGAAACTATTTTTTTTACCCATCAAATTATCTGTACTGATGCAATCAGAAAAAAAAAAAAGATACTATGGGTCTTTTCAATAAAAGAAATTTAATTTAGGGAATTGGTTACACAGAAGGGAAAGCTGAGGAATCAAACAGGAATGATAAGACAAGCAGAGATTTACAACGGTAAAAGATTGCTAATTACCCTCAAGCTGAAGGGGAAATAGAACGAAGTATATTTCAGTGCATAAAACTTAGACTGTGCAACTCATGTTTAACAACCTGTAACAAAGTGTAAGTGTAGGGAGCAGAGCTACGATGAAGCCATGGCTGCTCTGGAGACTGCACTGAGGACAACCACAAGAGCAGAAAAGTTCCTGGCTTCTCCCTTCCTTCCACCTTGGTGTCTCCCGTGCTTCCTGGCCCCAACTTAACCCGGAGCAATTTATGAGGGGACCTGTGTAATCTACTTCCCTGTGAAAACAAATTAAATCAAAACCAAGAAAGCAGGAAATGGTTTTGAAAGCAAAGGAGAAAATGACGAACAAAGCATCTACTAGTATGCATATACTTATCTTTCAACCAAGATTCAGTATCTATTCTATTCCAGGAAGTTTATCCTAGTGAATAATTATCCTCAACTTGTATTAGTCTTGAAATACTGTGTCATTATTTATGATTTATTTTATTTTGATGTAACTCAGGTAAATATATGTACTCCTGTCAAATAATATTGTTACCTCTTATTTAACTCTTATTTAACCTTTAACAATGTGAAGTTTAAAATATCAATATAATAATGTCTATATAAGGGGTCCATCTGTGTACTGTTCTATAATTATTATAAAGATATTTTTATATATTAGTAACATATTAATAAAACTCCCACCTTCAAAGGCACAAAGCCCTATTGTAATACATGTTATTAAAATAATCTTCTATTTCAAAGTAGAGCATAAAAATCTATAATAATAAAAGTATAATATGCTAATTAGACCAGACATCCTCTAGACAATCTTCCATATGAAGCTGGGGCTGTGAGGGAGGCCAGGTCCCGGGTCTCTGCCAGCAGAGGGAAACTGGGTCCCAGGTGCCAGAGGATAGCTGGGGGAAGGAAGGCCTATTCTTGCATGAATTTCATTTATAGGGCTCTAGTATTGTATAAAAATATTGTATATTGTATATAAATGAATAGACTATTGGTCCATGTCTCCCAGGAGAAATAAATGGACAAAAACAATAAAATATTAGATAAATGATTCTTAAAGGAGGATGACCTGATGTTCACACTTGATAGAATATACACAAGTTTTAGTTGGCACAATATAGAAAATAAAGTAGAAAAGGAGTAATTTTCAGAAAGACAAGTCTTGTTTAAAAAAAAAAACAAGATAATTTTCTTCCCAGCAAGAATCACTCCCCAAATGAATTATAAAACAACAGTCTTTAAAACTACTGCTGGGGGATAAAAGCTGTGTGTTAGGTAACCATTTTTAGAAAATGGGGACCAAATAGTAGGAGAGAATTAAAAAAAAAAAAGTTTATCTCTTACCAGAGCTTTAGAAATGGTGTAACAGTTTATATTGACAGTAGACTTGGTGATGAAAGAGCAATTGAGTAATTTTTAGAACCACAATATTCTTCAGCCATTTCAACATAAATGGTATTCATCAGCAGAAGGGAAATAAAATACATTAATTCCCTTATCTTCATTTGATCCTTCCGGTAGTAAGAGCTAGTAAAACAAGACACGGTCCACTTCTCAGCAGCTTTCAGGCATGGGAAGGGGAAAAAATGGAGGAGTGCTGGGTCAGTGCTACGCCATTTATAAACTCAGGACACAGAAACATGGCTGAGGGCGGGACATCTAACCCAGGGTTGGAGTGGAAGTCAGTGATATAAAGTGAATGGTAAGCACAAGCCAGGCACAGGACAAAGATAAAATGTAATATTCCAAAGCATGAACCAAGAAAAGAACCATGTGCTGCTGGAACTGCAGACTTGAACTTCGTTGAGGAAGATTTGACATAATTAACTGTGCAGATTGTCTGCAGCATCAGGGAGTCTGGCCAAGGGTGCTGATGGGGACTGAAATTGTTTCTGCTCTCCCCATCCACCTACAGAGGAGACTTCTTTCTAATTTATGTGAGAGCAATATGGTGTGGCACAGATATGTGTGTGGAAAACAAAAAGGGATCCTTCTAGGAGGATGGGCAAAAGCAAGAATTGGCTTGCAGAAAGCTTTATGAACCATATTAAGTTTTACACAGAAATAAATATATTTTATAAAATTATTAGGTCACAATGTTTAAAGATAAACAATTTCACCATTATTAGAATCATTAGCAACCATGAATATTAGGATAACCCAGCTGGAGCTGCCAGGGGACTGAGCTAGAAGCCACAAGTGTCCATCTGAAGTGACGAGGTGTAGTGTCACTTATGTTGCCTTAAGCTAACAATTTGCTTTCTCGTGCAGGCTGTATTTTGGTGAGAAGATTGGGCTATACTTTGCTTGGCTGGGATGGTATACTGGAATGCTGATTCCTGCAGCACTGGTTGGCTTGTGTGTTTTCTTCTATGGAATATTTACAATGAATGCAAGTCAAGTAAGGTAAGCTACTAGTAGACTTGTTGAAAATTGTTGGCCTTTCTTCTGATTGGACAAAAGCTTTATGATAATAATGACTATAAAAACAAGTGATGGTATTTTATTTATTTGCTGTTTTTGTCAGGTTTTGTTTTTTGTTTTTGTTTGTTTTTGGTAAGGGAGCATCACAATAATAAAGGTAATTCCTCTACTATTGTTAATGGTAGGTTGCCCTCCTGTGGGCTTCTCAGAATTCCCTGAGGCCTCCCTGGGAGGATGGGGTATCATGGAAAGCTTTATTGATGATGTAAAATTAAGGGATTTTCTTCCATGATCCCATTTCCCTGTGTCTCAGCCTTATTTTCAGCAGAGCTAGGATTGAAGTCACTGCCCAGAGTTTCCACTCCATATTAAAGCTCATTTGGCCAGGTTAGCTTGTGTTCCCAGCTGCAGTCCATTGTGTTTGGGGTCTACATGGGCTAAGGGCCACACATCTACTAAGGTCACATGGTATGCTAACTCACATGCCAGTGTGGGTCATGCAGCAAAGGAGCAAGAGCACAAGAGATCAGGAGCAGAACAAGAGAGACAGAATTCTTAGTCTGAGGATTTTAACTTTCCAAGAGTTCGCATGCTTGCAATGGCTCTAGCCCCTAGCCAAGTATCTTTTCCCCAGAAGCACCTTCCATGCATCACTTTATTGCACATGCACCCATATATCTCTTCTTTGGATTTCTTACCCCAGTGATCTGCAGGGAATGGATAGATGGTTCCGTGGGGAGCATGAAGTTTTAGCTTCCTGGTGAAGCTTCTCAGATGACCATGCTTATAATGTCTGGCCATCCCTTTGCTTTCTTTCTATTATTAATATTAGCTAGCTAATTATGACAATAACATTGTTATATGAAAATTATTTTGCATAAGCCCTGAAATTATTTCTGTGTATGTCAAATTTTTCTTTCTAGTGTATGCCACATAACAATTCAATAATGCAGTAGACAGCTACATAATTTATATTTGCATAGCATTTGCATAGCATTTAAAAGTCTTGAATGCCCTCTCAAAACATTAGTTCAAATAATTGTATAGTTACAATCCTTTTAACATTTACAGTATACAAAGACCTTCCAATATATTGTTTCATTTAACATACCCTTTTCTTTCAGCCTTTGAGGTGAGTATTCCTTTTTGCTGATGAGGGAATCTTATATATTTAAAGATGACTAAACAAAATATTCATCCCACATAAGCCTTTCTCTAAGCAACCTGCTCTCCTGAGAACAGAAAGTTGCTTTCTACTCTCTTCTTATTCTCTAGAAATAGATATTGTAGTATTTTTGCATCAACTTAAGGTATCAAGATAGCAGTGAAATAAGGTTGTGCAAAAATCACACATTTATCAGAATAATGATTCTTTTGTTAAAGTTGAATGATCCAAGATTTGGATATAGGATCAGTACATTATTATTCAGCAGAGGCAACAGCCACCCTGGCACTAAACACTCTCAATAGCATGTTCTTCTTCATATATCACAAGGATGTCATTAAATTTAATATTGTGTAGTTCAATTCAAAATATGAAAAATGCTTCTTCCATCCAAAGCTCAGCATTTTTTGTTGTTGTTCCAACTTTTAACCATGGCCTTAGCACTGGGAAGTAATAAGGACAATTGAGGAAATCATGGTAATTCATTTCCTTGAATTTTTAAAAATATGTATATAATAGTATATATATATATATATATATATATATATATATATATATATATATATATGTCAGTTTTCCCTAAAATAGTGTGTGTATATATATATATATATATATATATATATATATATATATATATATGTCAGTTTTCCCTAAAAACAAAGTACTTTCTTCTAGAGATGAATCCTGCTGCACAGCCAACTTCCTTGATTTGCTATCTCAGCATGAAATCCAAATGATAATTAGCATCAAAACAAACAACAAAAAATCACCTACTGTTCCAAAGCATTTCATCTAGTCCCAGGTTTATTTCAGAGTTTACACTATAGAAGATAGCATCTTCCTGTCCTTCCATTTATTTAATCATTATCTTAGAGTTGTCTATGGCTAGATCTTTCACCTCTTACATTAAATTTATTCCTAAGTATTTTGTTATTTTTGAATGCAGTGACAAATCGGATTTTTTCCCTTAATTTCTGTTTCTGATAGCTTGTTGTTTGTGTATAGGAACATGTGATATTTGTATATTATTGATTTTGTATCCTGCAACTTTACTGAAGTGCTTATTAGTTCTAACAGTTCTCTTGTGGAGTCTTGATGGTGTTAGAAAAAACAGTTTTTAAGATGAATTAACAAAAAGAAAATTATTCTTAGACAGACCTGTTGTTCAAGTTGATTCAGTGGGTACACATTCACAAGGCTTTATCACGCCAAGCGGACTCCCCCTCCACCCCTCCAGAGCTGAAAATGAACAAAAAGCCATAAGAAGAAGAGATTTGCTGTTCCTATTGATTTATGTTCCCATGGGGTAAATTAGGCCTCTTTTGTATGAGGTAAATATTCTTTAACCATTAGTACAAGGAGTGTTTTAAAAGGCATTAGCAAACTCTTTTCCTCAGTGCTTTATGGTCTTATATAACTGCTACCTCTGTCACACTGTAATTAAGATCCTGTCAGACTTTCTATTCTAAATCAAGGTAAGCTTCACTGAATATCTTGACTTTCAAAATTTCATAGAGCTGAAATTTTCCATTCAAGGTGTCAGATGTGGTTAAGTGGTAGGTGTTATCACTGCGGTGTGGGAGAATTCAGGGCTTTTATTTTGTATTGCTTTGTTTTAGTATAATTTTTAAGTTGTTTTTTCTTTAAAATGTTGAAAAGCTAAGGATTTGGTGGTTTTTATTATGTTTCTATCAGTTAAGTTCACATAAGTTAAAGTCATATTTCTTAATTGCCCTGCAGTAGAATTATATTACCAAGTTGTATATGTATTTGTGTGAGTGTGTGTGTGTGTGTATATATATATATATGTAGATGTATATATATATAAATATATATTTATATGTATATTTTACATGTGTTCAGTGCTCTTATATATATATTTATATGTATATATTTAGATGTGTTCAATGCTCATATATATTTATATATATTTACATGTATATATTTACATGTGTTCAATGCTCTTATATATATCTTTATATATTTACATGTATATATTTACATGTGTTCTGTGCTCTTATAGGATGAAATGTGGTCCAATTTATGCACATGAGAGGACATATCATAAGAATATAAAAATGAACAAGCAGGTGGATATGGCCTCGGGCCCTGGGTTTCAGGTCCAGAGCAAAGAACAAAAGCCCCATCTTCCTAGTCCATTATTTCCTCTTTGGCATTAGAATTTACCAAGAAATGTGTGTGGGGCTCAGTGCCGACCAGCTTTTCAAAGGCAGTTGCGTTCTAAAGGGCCTCTCAATCTGTCTCCTGACAACACCCTTAGCAACAAGGGATTCTTTCATTTATTAACTGCCTTTATCACCAATAACCTCATGTAATATCCCAGTTGGATATTATCTCTTAGTAGAAATAAAGATACTGATCCTCAGAGAGGTAAATTACTTGGTCAGGAGAGGCAATGGTCACCCTGGCCCTAAAGGCTCTTAACAGCATGTTCTATTTCAAATGGCAAATCATTTTCAAACCTCTATTATATTTTTAAATTGTAGATCTATCCTATTCAAAAACATTTAACTGCAGCTCTGGTGGCTTAGTTGGTTGGAGCATTATCCTGTACACCCAAAGGTTGTGGATTCAATTCCTGGTCAGGGTGCATACCAGAGGCCACCATCAATGTTTCTCACATCAGTGTATCTCTGTTTCTCTCTCTCTCTCTCTCTCTCTCTCTCTCTCTCTCTCTCTCTCTCTCTCTCTCTCTCTCTCCTTCTCTCTCTCTCTCAACATATAAGTGCACATTGTTAACTGTGGGCATACATTGTAGAGATCTCTAGAACTTATTTATCTTGCATAGTTGAAACTCTATACTCTTACACAGCAATTCCCACTTCCCTCTCCGCCACCCGTTGGCAAACAGTATTCTTCTCTGTTCCTATGAGTATATGTGACAATAGATATTAAACAAAAGAAAGCCATAATTCAAGGGGTGGTTTACATTATCCTGCTCAGCAAAAGAAATTAAGAATCACTCATGCTGGCACTCTTCCTCCCTCTAGTGGTGAAGTAAAATCAAAGAAATTCCCCATAGTCTCAAATAAGGCTACAAATTACATTGTCAAAAATTGTTTAATATTTTTTATTACTTATCAAGTTAAATTTGAGCATGTTATAGAAAATGATTTATGTTTAATGATTCTGGAATTAAAAATAGGAAACCGAAACCGGTTTGGCTCAGTGGATAGAGCGTCTGCCTGAGGACTGAAAGGTCCCAGGTTCTATTCCAGTGAAGGGCTTGTACCTTGGTTGCAGGCATATCCCCAATAGGGGGTGTGCAAGAGGCAGCTGATGGATGTTTCTCTCTCATGGATGTTTCTAACTCTCTCTTTCCCTTCCTCTCTGTAATAAAATCAATAAAATATATTTTAAAAAATAGGATTCATTCTTATGGCTTGGATTTTAGATGTGGTGCTTTTATTTGACCATTTGGAAAATGACAGTATAAACCGACTTTATAATACCATCTTAGTATGAGATTTTAATGCAGGACACATATGTCATTCTTGAAACCCAATGAATTATGATAACAAGCCCATTTTAATCAAAATTTCCTTAAAGACGTGTTAATTCTTATTTGTACAAATGTGTGGTATTACTAAGAGAAGATATAACCATCTTGTTCTTTGGGGCTTTTAAAATGTCTTATTTTACCTGTTTCTTCCTACTTCATACAGACATTCTGATTACTAGAAATATGATGTGTGATAATGGGAGGATTATAGTGTATATGAGACTCATCATCATCACTAATAAACTGTTTTTTGAAAGGAAAATTCCTTTTAATATAAAGCAAATCTATCCTTCTTTTAGATATAATTGATGGAGAATTGGACCCAAAATCAGGAAAAAAAAAACAACTACAGTCTGTCTCCAGAACTATTTATTGTTAGCTGTATGACCTTGAGAAATATCAGTTTCCTCTCAGTTGCGGGGATAATTATCCTGGCAGGAGATTGCATTGAGGACTAAATGTAATGGAGATGAACTCATCTCTGCTCATGGCAAAGCACTGTATTATTATATAGTATTTGTACTTGCTATTTATTCTTATTCTGGCTTGAGATTATATATTAGGTCTAGTAATAATTAATGTCGTTTTCTAATACTTTTTTTAAATCGAATTTATTTAAACAATACAACAAAATTTAATCAACAATATAGTTGCCGTTGTTTTCTACTACTTGTGCCCAATGCTCAGGAAGCATTTTAATCTCTCTGTTATAAAATTCTTGTGATTTTGATGCAAAAATCCGGTCAATGCATTTTTGAGGCATTCTTCATTATTAAATTTTTTTCCAAGAAGAAAGTTTTGCAAAGAATGAAACAAATGGTAATCGGAAGGGGCAATATCAGGAGAATATGCAGGTTGAGGGAGAACTTCCCATTCCAACTGGCGCAGTTTTTCAGCAGTGATTCTTGCAGTATGCGGTCGTGTGTTATCGTGGTGAAGAATTACGCCCTTCCGATTAATCAGCGCGGGTTCTTTTTCTCTTAAAGCTTGGGCTAACCTTTCCAATTGGGCACTATACACTGCACTTGTACTGGTTTGGTTAGATGGTAAAAGTTCATAATGAAGAATTCCTTTAAAATTCCACCAAACACACAACATCACTTTTTTCGCATGCAAGTCAGGTTTTGGCGTGGGCTGCGGAGCCTCATTTTTGTGCAACCATTGAGGCCGCCTTTTCAAATTAACATACAGTACCCATTTTTCTTTAAATTTTTTTTAAAATATATTTTATTGATTTTATACAGAGAGGAAGGGAGAGAGATAGAGTTAGAAACATCGATGAGAGAGAGTCATCGATCAGCTGCCTCTTGCACACCCCCTACTGGGGATATGCCCGCAACCAAGGTACATGCCCTTGACCGGAATCGAACCCGGGACCCTTCAGTCCCCAAGCCGACGCTCTATCCATTGAGCCAAACCAGTCCCGGCGACAGCACCCATTTTTCATCTCCGGTAACAATTTGCTCTAAAAACGGCAAACGGTTTTGACGAGAGAGGAGTGAACTTGCAAATTGTGACTCTTTGATTACGGTTGTTGTCGGTCAACTCATGAGGAACCCATTTTCCAAACTTTTGGACTTTGCCAAGTGCACGCAATTGATTGGAAATTGTTTTTTGTGAACAATTTAAAGTTGTCGCAAGCTCTTGTTGGGTAATTTGAGGATTTTGCACCAAAAGAGCTTGAAGAGCTTCTTGATCAAAATTGGACACACGGCCTCGACCACTCTTGTCATCTAACGAAAAATTTCCCTCGCGAAATTTCTCAAACATATTCCAGTAAATAAAAACTGTCAGTTCCATATGACAGTGTATGTCAAGGTACACAGAAAGAAGGGGAAGGGAAGGTTGGGGAGGGGAAGGGAAGGAAGGGAAATCAACTCTCAAATTTTCAATGGACATGATGCACCGATGTACTCCAGTGGATGTCATGAAGTTGTGTGAATTATGGATGCTGTTGACTTTGGTGATTCTAAGGCAGCAAGATCCAAGTGAAAGACAGATTTGAGAAATCAGAATAGTTATTTGATTCCAACTCAGCCATTTCCAAGCCTGTGAACTTGGTTAAAATTCCTTTGGGTGTTCCTCACAAAATTATCCTGCATGCCATGGCATCATGGGTAAAAGTGTTTTGTAACAAGGAGCCACAACTGTCTCCTGAGTATATAAATATGGCCTATGATTGTTATATTATCTGGGTGGAGATATCTAAAAATAAAGAAACTTCATCACAGATATCCTAAAATTCAAGTTGGAGCCAGTTTTCAGTTCTTCTGCAGCCCCACTATTTCCATTTCTTTTTTTCTGTGTTCCTGCTTCCCACAAGATTGACTGTAGGAGCTAAGCATCTTCCTAAACATGAAGCTTTATACTTTCTCTTTTCTGCTTTGATTTCTCCAGCAAAGAAATTTGCAAGGCCACTGAAGTCTTCATGTGCCCTCTCTGTGAAAAGAACTGCTCACTACAGAGACTCAACGAAAGCTGTATCTATGCTAAGGTGAGTGTGGACACTCAATTTCTCCTTCCTAAGCTCTAGGTAGGAAAAAGTCTTTCAATGAATGGCTTTATAGCAAAGTTAAATGTTCCCCAAAATTTTGACAATCCATATCATTGACAATGGAGTAAGATTTAACTTAGGCAATTTAAATGAGTATATATTTATTTAAGTATTATTGTCTTCCTTTAGTTTTTATAATTAATTATTGTCATCATCAACACAGAATTTCTCTTGGAATGATGTCTAGATTCTTTTTAGGAAAGATTATTTTTATCTTTCATTAAGTCTCATGAAATTAAAATACTTCAAATTTTGCAGGGGGAAAAATAAAATGACATACCAAAATTTTTCAAATTGCTGTCTCTCAGAGTTAATTGAAGTTTTGTGTTTTTGTTTTTTTTTTTAATTCCTTAAGTCCAAATAACACCCAGAGCAAAGAAATCAGAATTTTGGGGTTTGTAACCTAGGCATCGGCATATTTTGAAGCTTCCCACCCAGGTGATTCTACTATGCATACAAGTTTAAGAAACTGAATCTCGATTATTTATGTATAACAGTTTTATTAAATTAACATATAAATATGTACATATCTGTGTGTATAAATGGATACATTTTTATTTTACATACTAGTATGCACCTGTGAAATCACCACCACACTTGAAATAAAGAACATATCCATCACTTCCAAAATTCCTTCAAGCATTCATAATCCCTGCCTCCCAACTCCACTCCTGTACTCAAGCAACCAACTGCTTTCTGCCATTATAGATAAGTTTGTATTCTCTAGACTTTTATGTAGATGGAATCATACAGTGTGTGATTTTTTTTCTGCCTTCTTTCCCACAGAACAATCATTTTGAGATTCATCCATGTTGTAACATGTATCAGTAGATTATTCCTCTTTACTGCTGAGTAGTATTACATTATAAGTCCATATCAGAGTTTGTTTATCCATTAACCTATCAATGGACTTTGGAACTGTTTTAAGTTATTATCATTTTAAATAAAGCTGCTATGAACATTTATCTATCTATAAATCTTGTTATAAATATTATTTCTTTGGGATAACTCCTTAGAAGTGAAATAGCTGGTTTATAGAATAGGTATTTAACTCTCTAAAAATTGCCAAACTATTTGCCAACATGTTTATACCATTTTATATTGTTGCCAGCATTGTATGAGAGATCCAGTTTTCTATATAATCATAAACTCTTAGGATGTGAAGTCCTTTAACTGTTCTAATAGATGTCTAGTAATATTTTTTGTAGTTTAATTACTTGAAAAAAAAATCTGAAGATTTTTAAGATCTGTAACATGGGCATACAGCTATTCCCATAGCAAAAGCAAGATCTTTCTGTGGAGTCTACTCGATTTCTAAAATATACTTAGTTTTGAATTATTTTAAATCTTTCAAAAAGATGTCTCATTTGGGAAGCCATTTTCTCAACTTTTTTTCCCCAAAAAACCAATTGTATTAGAATTATTAGATGTATTTACACATGTCTTAGCCCATGCATTTTGAAGACATATGACAGACTAGGGACACCAACAAATTCATTTAGGTTACTTATACTTTCACCTGAACAGATCTAAGGAAACACACTGGCTTTATCTGAGCACTAAATATAATAAACATCCACATATGGCAGAGTGATAAAATGAAGAAACATTCCAAAGACTAAGGGGCTCTTGTCATGTAGTATCTATATCTCTCCTTTCCCTGGCAGAAAAAAAAAATGTTTGAGGACAGATATGACTCATAAAAAAATTCACTTAATAACTATTATAAGAAAGGTGAAAAATAGAGCTTGCAGAGGAGAATATTGCCTTGTGGAACAATAGTGAAATAAAACCCATCAGGATGAAATATTTCTCTTGTATTTGTTTCTCTGGCTAAAGTAAAATATAGCTACTTCTTTCACACCTTAAAAATCAGAATTACACTTCCTTCACTGGATGCAAATAAACATTTTCTTTAGGGTTGAACATTTACTTATAACAGATAACCTATATAAAACATATCTAGAGCAATAGCTGTGGGTCTGAATGGACCCTTGAACCTGTCAGCAGCTCCACCTTGCAGGTCCCACCTGCTGCCCTCAGAGCCCAGAGTTTGCTTGGGCAGCAGGGTAACAAATATTGTGGATACTGGCTCAGTCACAGGGTTAGATGATCTTCTACCTGGAATGACTAAAAGTTGGCGCAACTGCTAATCTATTTCTTCTCCTCCTGGGAAGTTTGTCTCCACTGCAGTTAAGGCCACCAGGATGAAAGCAGGGTCAGGGCTGGAGACTTGCTAAGCATAAAGTAGGGGTAATTGGCTTAACTTACAATAGGTATTCCGGAGGGGTCTGCTTACAATAGAAACAGATGATCTTGGTTCAGCACTCCCAAAATAAGGACTAGGTGACTGCAGAAACCATAGAGCTTCCCAGAGGAAGAGAACCATACCCCCTGACCAGCTTATATCTTGTGATATAAGCTCTTATCACAAGAGCCAGATCAAAGAGCCCAGGGAACTCCACAGGCAGGGAGTGAAGACTGACTCACTGGGCTCCATGGTCTAGTCTCAGAGCAAGGGACTTGGGATCTGGCCCACCCTGATCCTCACATATGAGTGTATAAGCAAGTAGTCAGCCTCCTCTTTCATGGAGGTCACAACCTGGGGAACTTCCCCCTTAGGGTTTGGATGGGCCTGTGGAGACAGAGATGGGTTGGGGCCAGCTTTCAGGAAACTTAGATGGATGCTCTGAGCCCATTTAATATCTCATAGCATATCTTTCCAGCAGAGGTGGTACCTCAGCTCTGACAGGGAAAAGAGTGGAACTTGGCTGGTCCCACCTCCACTAACATATACTAGAAATCTCAAACAACTAGATGGGAAGGGGCTGGGCCCGCAGGGTCCAGAACAAAAGGAGGAACTTGGGGCACAGCGTCTAGGGTCCATAGGTGTTCCAGAGTTCCCCGAGTTACAGGTTCAGCTGATGTAGATACGGTGGAAATCATGGGCACCAAAGGCCACATTGCACTTGGGACACTTCCTCTGGCGGGCGTCATAGCGGGTCTGCACACACTCAAAGCAGAAAACGTGGAAGCACTTGGTAAGCACTGCATCCTTCTTGCGAGTGTTACAGCAGGGACAGGTCAACCGCGCCTTGTACTCCTTGATCTCCTCTTGGAGGATTTCATCAGCATCTGCATAAACCTCCACCTTCCTCTGCTTCTCCAGCTTGCGCCGCAGCCGTGAGATGTCTTCCTGAGCCCTCTTGAGATTGAAGCTCTCTTTCTCTCGAGCAGCACGGCTCTCTGCCAAGCAAGGCTGGCTCTCTCGCAGCCGTGTCTGCACATGCTCCAGCTGCACCTTCAGGTCCTCAGCCAGCTGGGCTGCTTCCACAGCCTTCCTCTTGTTGAGCTCCAGGGCCTGGTTGCATAGCATCAGCTCCTTTTCCACACTTCCAAGGCTGCCCTGCAAGGCCTGCTCTTTTTCCTCCAGCTTCTGCATGGTGAGCAGCTGGGCATCCACCTGAGATTTGAGGCAAAGAACCTGCTCACTCAACTCATCCTTCTCCTCCCGCAGCAGCTTGTGAATCTGGTTGGCCTTGATCCGCTCTGACATCAGCTTAAAGTTGGCATCATCCTTTTCCCGCAACAGCTGTAGCAGCCGCCTATTTTGCTCTTGCATGTCCTCAAAAGCCTGACCTGTCACATCCATCTCTGACAACAGAGCCTCCTCCTCCTGCTTGGTGGCAGCCAACTTGCGTTGCAAATGTTCTATCTGCTCCTCTGCCTGCCGAATGCGCTGCAGGGCATCCTCATCCGCAATCTTCTTCCTCTCCCTTTGATCCCTCTCCTCCAATTCCCAGATGTGATTCCATAGCTCAGTGACCTCGGCCTTGATCTTGCATTCAGCTGCCATAAGCTGCACCTTATCTTGTTGCTCCTTAGGCACTGTTTTGTACATGTCCAGAAGCAGCTTCATCTCCTTCTGGCTTTCCTGGGCCTTCTTGAGCTCTGCTCGGAGACATTTGAGGAATTCTGATTCTTTCTTCTTGGGCTCCTCCACCTTGGCCTTCTCCCGATCAGCTCTTGAATATGCTGAGGCCACAAATTGGGGTCCCAGGGCAGGCCATTCCCACTCTTGAAGCTCCCACTGGGGCCTGGGCTCAGGTTCTCGGACCCAAGAGGAGGGGCCTGGGGCCCCGGAAGTTAAGACCTGGGCATCTTCCTCAAAGGGGATCAGTTCTTCTATCTTTGCTAAGGAGGTAGTCATGGTGGCACTAGGCATTGAAACCATCTCCTTTCTGCTTTCGTGGTCACCAATAGGCCCTTGTCCACCTTCTTCTAATCCTGGGTCTGGGGCACTGAGATCAGAGTCCAGGGGGATAGAGTGCATAGAGCCACTGGCCTGGGCCTGGAACTTTCCAATCTCAGCCTGCACTTCCCTCAGCTTCCGTTTGTATCGCTGGGCATCCCCCTTTAGCTGGTGGTTGTGACTTTGAAGGCTGCTGATCAGATGGCGCATCTCACGGTTGATGGGCCCTGCCTGCTCGTTGGCGGCCAGGTTCTGTTCAAACTCGATGCGCAGCATCTCATACTCCTTGCGTACCTGGGCCAGGGTGTCCTCCATCTGGATAACCTCTGTACGCAACTTCTTCTGCAGCCCCAACTCGTCGCTCTCCATGTGCTCAATGTGCATCAAGTGCGAGTTCTTGGTGGCCACCAGCAGTCCCCGGGTTTCCTCTAGCTGGGTCTTCACTTGCAGAGACTCATTGTAAAGCAGTGAGAACTGGGCCTGCAGCATTTGGTACTCCTCTGTCTCCTGTACCACCTCCTCAGGAAGATTCCGTAGGGCCACCTTGAGGTGCTCATTGGTCCGCACAGCCTCCTGAAGTTCGACCTGTAGCTTCTCCAGCTCTGCCATGTGGCTGTTGGCCAATAACTGGTTTTCCTCTAACTCCGCATTCAGCATCTCAAATTTCTGCAGGCTGAGCGTGATCTGGCCTCCCTGGAAACCTGAGGAGCTACCAGATACATAGTAGCCAGAGTTGAGCTGCTCCAGGGCCTCTGCCAGGTGCTTATTGAGCTTTTCCTCGCGCTTGTGCAGCTTGTCAATGTCCCACTGCAGGTCCTCTACTGTTGTCTCCATCTCTAGCACTTTGGTCTCTGCTGATGTCACTTTATCTTGGAGCTCAGAGTACTCCAAGGAGATGCAGTGGTGCTTCTCCTGTAGCTGGGTGGCTAAGGCCTGAAGTCTCCGGTTCTCACAGCCCAGCTCCCGGGTGCGTGCCCGAGCCGCCTCACTCGGCTCCCTTTCCGTTAGGCTGCATACTCGCTGACAAAGTCCTTCCACCTGGCGCTGTAGGCGGTCTGAGGCCTCTACCAGACGGGACACGGCTGCCTTGGAGAACTCCATTCGGTCCTGCAGCCCCACCTCCTCACTGCTGCCGGCGCCCCGTTTCACCAGGAAAGCCAAAGCCGGCTCACTGAGTGCGGGCCCTAGCTGCACTGGCAGGGCCCCCTTCAGCTCTGATGCCGGCCCCTCCTGGGTCCCGCGTACCTCAGTCCCGGAAGACAGCTCCCACTGCTTCTCGTGGTGCCTGAGAAGGGCTTCCACCGTGACATCCAGCTGGGCCCAGTAGTGATTGACAATGAGGAGCGTGGCGTCATCTGTGGCCTGCCGCTTTTCCAGCTTCTCAATTCTTTCTCGGAGTTCATCCTCGCAACCCTGGCGCTGTTCCAACCGCTCTTCTAGTTTCTTATTCTTGAACCGCAAAACCTTCAGATCCATCTCCTCAGAGAGAGAGAGAGAGAGAGAGAGAGAGATGTCAACAAGACGAATGGGCTCTCTAAGCGAGGTTGCGGCCTTCTCCTCGAGGCTCAACTTCTCTGCGGCCTCGAAACCCACCGTTGGTGGGCTGGCAAGATGGCGACACTTCCGGTTATACGTGGCACTTCCGGCCACCCGAGGCACTTCCGGCCACCCGAGGCACTTCCGGCACTTCCATCACTGGCAACAGGAGCAGCCTGGCGCCCGCCATCTTGGACGTCAGCCGGACATCAGCGCCCTCAACACTCTCTTGTCATATTAGTTTATATAGTTAAACACCTAGAAGTTCCTTGATGGGCAATGCCGAGTATAAGGGAACAGTTGTTTTTTTGTTTTTGTTTGTTTGTTTGTTTGTTTGATCAAAGAAACAAGCCAACCACTGAGCCACATTATCTAGGAACTTGTTAATTCCTCATGGAATCCACCCTCACTTGTGGCAGGGAATAGGAAAGTAAATCTGCCATGTTTATTTCTTAGAAAGTACGTGTATACGTGTAATTATTTCCTTAATAATTTCAAGGATGTGTTTCATGAAAAACTGGTCTCCTCATGTGGTAACAGTGTAAGTAATTAATGTTTCCTTTGATGATTGTTTTCATTTTTAACATTTAAAAGTATGGGACTTGAGAAACGTTGGAAACTAAGTCAGTCTGTGATGTGTGCACACTCATTTAAACGCACCTGACACCACACTGTCAATTTCCATTATGCAAAGATTTTAAGGTGAAATGATTAGATAGAAGGACCCTGCACTGTTTTATCATATAATTCTAAAAATGAATCAACCTTTGAAGTGACCTTTATTCATAATAGTTTTTATTACTGCCCTAAATAAATAGTAGGTTGGGGGAGGGAGAGGAACTAATGAAGTGTCCTTGTTTGATGTAGCTTGTGCCCAGGTCCAAATACCTGTACGGATTTTGCCCTGTCTCAGCATTAAAACTGAGGAGGTCAGAGAAGCCCGAACTCCAGTCTAAATTCTGACTCCCTACCCCCAGCCCTATCTCCTGTAATAGCCTCCCTGGCCCACGGGCTTGAACCTTCCCAAGAAGGCACCTTGTTCTCAGCCCAGAGGGCCTTTAATGGGGTATAAGCGGAAGTTTACAGAACTTGCTGTTATTCTTAACCCATCAAACAATTTTAGAGAAAAATCTAGCAATTAAAGTAGAGCAGACATAGACTTTATGCTTCCAACCTAAGGTGAAATTTATCTCCTTAAACAATGCCCACATTTATTGATTTCTTGCACTCAGCTCTCTAAGAGAAATAAGATGTTAAAGATAATGGAGAATTTGTGCTTAAACACAGCTTTCTTGAAGGCTTAGTTTGCTTCTGTCTTCATATATTATTTCCACTCACATCAACAGTGTTGAATACAATGTTTGTCCATAGTTCCCTCTATGCATAAGCTATTTTTCTGATAAAATAATTCATTTTAAATACACTTTTATAGATTGGACAAGCTTATTTTTTGCTTTAGAAAAGTCTATTATGTTGCTTTGGGAATTTTCATTTTATTTCATCTGGAGTTTCTTTTATAATATTAAGAAAGTATTCTTGTCCTAATAGGCAAAAGTTCTCTTCCCCCTTTATTCTGCTGCCAAATACCCATGCTCTAACCTGGAGCCATCCACTCTAGACTTGATGCTTCCTTTTCCCTCTTCCCCATTTTTACTCATCAGGCCTTATATGGCATATAAATAAGTCCCTTAGCACTTTAAGCTTTAACTGCAGGCTTCTAATTGCTCTTTTTGTCTCTATTGTCTCCCATATCATAATTCATCCTGCATGTAATAGCTTAGTGGCTCTACCACAGTGATTTTACACTTTTATTGTCCTTCTTAGGGCAAGTTCTGAAGTTTTTCCTAACTTCCATTCTACCTTTACCTCCCATTACATGTATGCACTCTTAAATTCTATGAGTGTTACATGTATACCGTGCTATATCTTATGGTTATACTAGAACTCAGTGTAAGAATCTGGATTTGTGCACTGCTGGGATTCCTCAGCCTAGCTTGTGCCCTCTCACAATCTGGAACCCCTTGAGGGATGTTGGGGACCTGGTGCATGGATTCATCCCAGTCCCCACAGGCCAGGCCAAGGGACCCCACCAGTGCACAAATCTGTGCACTAGGCTTCTAGTATGCATATAAAATCTTTGGTTAATCTCTTCCCATCCTTCCTCCACACCCCTTCCCTCTGAGATTCATCAGTCTGTTCCATGTTCCCATGCCTGTGCATTAAGCATCTGCACCTAATGGTCAGTGTGCATCATAGCTACCAGTCAGATGGTTGGACCGTCACTTAGGCTTTTATATATATTATTTTAAAAGTTACTGTTTTAATTTACTGAGTTAAAAAAATATGAGCTGTTTAAACAAACTTATCAAAATAAATGAAAAGTTTTTTTCAAGAAAAATGTTGTATAGACTATGACAAGTGGTGGCCATACAACCTGGTTGTTGCTAAATATGGGTTTTTACTTGCCACTTCTCTGAGAACCATTATTAGTGCCTTTAAGAGCCCTTTTGTAAAGTTTCTGTTCTAACACTCAAAGAGGCCATTCCCTGCAGTAGGTCTGTTGATAAGGGAGAGCAGACAGCTGTTGGGCTGTGTGGCAAGCAGCAGGTGTGTCTGTGGGATGCCTCTGGAAACAAAAAAAGCTGGATTGTCCTGATGGGTGTAATTTTAGGAGCCCTGTAGGAGAAATTTTTTATGGTCCTTTTCTTTCCTGTACGTAATATGCATTGATGATTGTTATGAAATCCAATTTTTATAGCATTTTTAGAAATTCTGAGCCTTAACAATCAAGAAGTTTTACAGCTATTAGGACATCTTGCATCTACCGACAAGCCATCTAAAATAGCACATCTTTTGTATACTGATATTTCCAGTGTTGCTGCATTACAGAAATAAGCACATCTTTTGTTGAGCAGCCTCTGAACTATAGACTGCAAAGAAGATACCATTTTACACCCACTTCCCTTATAATACTGGTAATGTTATTTAGTCCCTAACTAGCCTCTCTGTCCCATGAGATTAGTGTCCTTGTTTTCTCTATAGATGCTATAGTATGTATTTGATGGCCAAACATGTATTGTCTTGACTGTATACATGTAATCTCTATCACTAACTATAAACATAGCAAGGGCATTATGCAAAATGAAAGGAAGCAAAGGTGAATTAAATTTATACTTTATTAAAATCAAACAATTCTTGCAACCCTGAAAATTGTATTCAATAACATCACATAACTGTACATTATTCTTTATAAAACTTTAGGTAATGTCTGATTCAAAAACACTTGGACTATATCCTACTGTCAGTGATTTATGAAACTTCTGAAAAACAACTTAATGTGGAATTCATTACCTCCTATAGCCACTACTGGGACATGGCCTTTCTAAAAGCTATCAGAGAGGAGGGATGGCACTGTGATATCATGCCATTGAGAGTCTGCCTCACTAGTGGAATTCTGCATTTTGCAACTTTCCCATTCCTGGATGTTTTGCTAACAAGAAGTCCAATTAGGTATGCCTCAACTGAAAGGCTGATTTCTTACAGTTCACACTATAGCTTGACTCTCTGTGGCTCACAAATACTTCCTTGAGGTGCTAGAACAATTTCTAAGCAGAAGGAAGATGGAGTACAAAAGGAATAAAAGGGAAAAGGGAAAAATGCTGATCCTTTATCTCTTCCCAAGAGAAAAATTATATGAAATAGTTGGAGCAACCATGAAATGATCTATATCTTATATTTAAGAACTATAGAATAATGTGATTCCAAGGGGAAGAGTTTGCAATCACTGGGTTATTATAACGAGCACTATAACTAATAGTTTTGTTTGTTTTCCATTAAGGTGACATACTTGTTTGATAATGGAGGGACAGTCTTCTTTGCTATTTTTATGGCAATATGGGGTAAGTAATTCTCCCTTACTTCCTAGCCCTCATTCTCTGAAGCTTTTACTGTATTTCTTTATACACGTATTCGCACGTGCACTCACACACACCATGTATCAATTCAACAGTCTATTGCTTTGTTTGTCCTCTTCACATATTTACTGCTTCGTTTGGAATCTATTTCTTGATCTAATTATTTAATCTCTAAAACCTTGAACTTTCCTATACTAAAGAGTTGTGTGTGTGTGTGTGTGTGTGTGTGTGTGTGTGTGTGTGTGTTTCCTGCCAGAAGCAAATAGTAATTAAAAACAAACTGAGGGGAAGGTCATTTGGGGGGGAGGGGGAGAAAGGAGACATATGTGCTACTATTTGTAATACTTTAAACAATAGTAAAATAAAATAAATGGGGAAAAAACTGAAACATGCCATAATCCAAGTTATACTTTTTGAAACTGATGCTCAGAACTCTTTTTATTTGCTTAACATTTCCATTTATCTATTTTTAATATCATCATCTATTTAGAGATGCAGAATCTATATATAATTGATCAATAATATCTAATACATAATAAATTATGTTCCTATCTAACATCTTCAAACTGTAAAAATTATGTACAGGTACAGGCTTTGGCTGACTTTTTCAACAAGTTTCTCATTGAGTTTCAAATTACCAAGTTAATTGAGGTGTAAAGTAAATCGGACAGATTGGAATTCCCATCCTTTGAAGAAAAGCAATTACTTTCCTGGTTAGGGTCAGTTTTCCTAATAGCCCTGTTGAATGCAAAGTAATTGCCAACTTGACAGTTCAAGGGACTGACCATGTAAGTGCTAAGGCAGCAAAGTAAAATGTACTTTGGAGACAGGTCTCTCACTCCCATTCTCTACATTTCTCAGAAACAGACGTTCTGTGCCATCTGTCTTTCTAGCTTTAAGTCAAAAAATAAAAATAAATTTTTTTTTTACTTCCAATGCTTCTTCAACAGAATGTCAACTGTGATGCATGGCATTAAGGCGGGGGGGGGGGGTGGGGAGCAGTAAAGAATCAATATATTGATTGATTTTTGGCCGAAACAAAGTATGAATGTAGTTTTTTCATTGAAGAAGTTTTTAAATTAAATTATCAAGAAGGGCAATCAAGGTAAAATATTTTAGTTTTATGTGATTCCACAAACATATTTTACTAAGAAAAAAAAAAAACAGAATAAAATACAAGTGAAGGTTATTTCACATAAGCTTCAGCATAGCCAAAAAATGGCAAGAAAGGAAACCCCTTGGATGGTTTATCATCTCTTTATGTTTCTGCTACAAGGCTCAGGCTTTTACAGTTCTTCTTGGCACAAGCCATATGACAGAGATCTTGCTTCGGCTTTTGGAACTTGGGTTGGTGAAAAGGTCAGGATGTAGGCAAACACTTGCCATCTGAAGCCCCTTTCCCCTTAGTTTTATACTGAGGTACGGAGTGCAGGTATGTCATCCATTGGGATACCATCTCGTGCATTTTCTTGACCTGCTGGCATGGATGAACCATTCACAGTTGAGTTGTAATAACTAGCATTCCCAAAACTCACATCATAAGGTTCCGGTGCATTGTCTAATCGCAGAACTAAAAAAAAAGTAACAAAAAAAAAGGTATTTTATAAAAGGTATTTCAGTCACAGTCTGAAAGATGCATATGTACTCAGGCATCTGCCAGACCTTAGGAACTGTTCTAGATGGGTAAGTACATCTGGCCTTTATATGGGCTTTTCAGATACTAGTTTTGAAATTTAAATGAGTGGATATTTTCAAGCCACGTTTCTTTCTAAGACTAAGAGAACAATTTAACTTCCAGAATTTCCCTGCTGGTGGAACAAAACTAAAGGAAGCAAGGGAACTATTACAACAAACGTGTAGTAATATTTTGTATCAGAAAGTATAGACATGTCTCATTGTGTTGGATCTCATGATTTCAGTCTCATCAATTAGTTTAGAATTTTTACTTCTGGTGTGAAAAATAATTTTTTTAAAAAAATGAAGAGCATTAATTTTAAAATCACTGCCATTATTCTAAGCAGTATCTCCACGTCTTTATGGTTGAGCCATTAAACATGGAGATAGGAGAAAACTATTTGTAAAAGTTTGTGTTTCCTGTTGATAGATCCAATGTATCATGTACTTCAGATTTTATGACTGATGATAAAAGATTATTTTCTTTTTCAACAGTCAATTATTAGTTCCTTAATGAGCTTGAACTTATTTAAAAAAAAATAAGGAGATACTTTTAAATACTGAAGCAGTAATTAACTACTAGTTAGATTAGCAATCTAATTATTCAGTGAGGTATTTTTATATCCTAACAATTTCTTTAGAAACTAGTCTCCCAGAAACCTGAGGGATTTGGGAGAGGGCCCCTAATCTGTCTTGAAAGGAATAAAGTAGGTGGTATGATTATTTTCTTATGCCTCAATCAAAATATATCAAATTATATCAATTTAATAGACTGAGCTTTTTTTTACAGATGATTACAGTGATTACAAATAAAGAAAAAAATTCTGAAAAAAAGTTTGGAGACCCATGTTGTTCAAAATTATATTATTTTATTTTGAAAAATGCCACTTTTAAAAATATGCATTGCTAGGAATCCATAGACAGAATTTAGTCAAATTTCTAAATGGTGGATTTGGTTCTGCAAAGGAGCATATGTCACTTATGATTTAAGGTTCTCAAAAATCAAGACTTTATCAATGGGACTCACTAGGGTCGTGTATATATATGTGTGTGTGTGTATATGCAAGAGTCCCTGCTGTAAACCAGAAAAAGTTGTGATTTTTTTCCCCCCTGAAGTTTAAGAAAGGGAAGACTCAAGCATTTGAAGTGACTTTGTGTTCTATAGATTGTGTTATTCAGGTCTTACTCAGTGCTTTATTCATAGCAGTTAAATTTTTTATTCATAGGTTTTATGGTTCTTTTTCACTACATGGATTTACTGAATTAAGGTAAATTGGGACTTATGTAGCCAAATATGCAACTCATTAGAAATCCTGTTTTAGAGACGCATTAAAATAATTAATATGAGGTTACTATAGCTGTAAATTTTTTGAAGAGTTCCTATTAGAATATGTCTTTGCTCAAATTACTGCTGCTAAACAATAACAATGACAATGGATGATTTTGCAATCACTTACTAACAAAAATGCCCTTTTTTCTTTTCTTTTTCTTTTTTTTTAAATATATATTTTATTGATTTTTTTACAGAGAGGAAGGGAGAGGGAGAGAGAGTTAGAAATGTCGATGAGAGAGAAACATCGACCAGCTGCCTCCTGCACACCCCCTACCAGGGATGTGCCCGCAACTAATGTACATGCCCTTGACCGGAATCAAACCTGGGACCTTTCAGTCCACAGACCGACGCTCTACCACTGAGCCAAACCGGTTTTGGCATGCCCTTTTTTCTTATTATCATACCATTATCTTCCAATTTTATAGATTTATTTTAGGTTCTGAGATTATTACTTAAAATCAATTGTCATGCAATGAGCAACAGTTTCAACTATTTAAAAAAATTTAAATATATTTTCATTACTATTTGAGAAACAGAGAGTAGGTCAGAATAAATCTTTAGTTGGTTTTTATTGTATGAATCTCTGAGCACTGTCTTGACAATGTAATGACCATTAGCAATCCCCACTTAATGAAAGTTCTGAAGGTGAAGTTCTGAGAGTTGTTTTTACCTGGTTCGTTTCTATCATCATAAAGTCGCCGATGAGAAAATGAATTTGTTTTCCGTTTTCCACACAACAAGTAGCCAACAAGACTAAGCAAGGAAGCACCCAGAATAGCACCTAAAATGGCCCCAAATACTATTCCTGTATTTCTATTCTCTAGAGAGAAAAAACAAAAACAAAAAAGAATTTACAAACAAGAAATAGAAACAATTGTTCAAAGTACAAACATATATGCATGTGTATCACAAAGAATACTTAACAATTTTTTTTAAAATATTAGATAATGCTGAGTGTGTGTGTGTGTGTGTGTGTGTGTGTGTTATAAAGTACTGAATATTTTGGATATATTGGCAAAATATATTTCCTGATAAAACCACACCTTAAATATTGAATTATTTTGAATTACTTCTAAGTCCTAGTTTTATAATTATGTTCATTACTCAACCACACTAATAGTCCTGAAATGCCATGAGTGTGCTCCATTAGGACATAATTTCTATGTTGAAGGCTATATTATTTTTAATCATTTTTAAGTCTCTGATGAACTTTAATGGTAAAATGAACTTTGAGGTTGTTTCTATAATAATTTGAAGGTAAAAAGTTAATAGTAGTAAGTGGGGAATAGGAAATGAATCCACAAAGCTCAAAGAGAAAAGGCATTGTAAGGAAAAATCAGAATAATGGTCAAAGCAATATATTGTCAGTGCTTTGCACATAGGAACAGATGTGTAGGTCCAAATTGAAGAGAACTCAAAATTTCACCCTATAATTCCCTTTACTAATTACCTTATTTGAAGACTATCATCAGTAAACTACTTACTGCTCCATGAATTCAAACTTAGTGTATTTTATTTTTAATGTTTTTGTTTTTTTTTTATTTCTTGAGAAGCTTACTAATTTGGTAGGTAAAGGGTCTTAAAGAATCTCTGGTTCTAGCCGAAACCGGTTTGGCTCAGTGGTAGAGCGTCAGTCTGCAGACTGAAAGGTCCCGGGTTCGATTCCGGTCAAGGGCATGTACCTTGGTTGCGGGCACATCCCCGGTAGGGGGTGTGCAAGAGGCAGCTGGTCGATGTTACTCTCTCATCGACGTTTCTAGCTCTCTATCTCTCTCCCTTCCTCTCTGTAAAAAACCAATAAAATATATTTAAAAAAAATAAAGAATCTCTGGTTCTATATGAAACCCTATATATTTAAAAAATTAACCTTCACACTGGAAAGTTAACAAAATTATTACTAAAACAAAAATGAAGCAAAGTTATCTGGTAGGAATAATATGTACTTAATATATATTTTAAGTTTAGAGACAAAACAGTA